TCTCACACTGCCTCTGCTTGTGTTCCCTCTCTCGCTGTGTCTCTCTCTGTCAAATAAATAAATACAATCTTTAAAAATAAAAATAAATAAATAAAAGCTCATGTGCTGGAGGGCCTGCGTGTTAGAATTGGTCATGAGGACTGACACTGGGGAACAAACTGAAACCCAGGAACAAACCCGGCCACGAGCAGTGATGAAATTACAGTACGTGCTCATCATGGGCCTCACAGGCATAGCTGAGTGCCCAGGAGGGCTCTTCTGCTTTTTGAAAAAGAAATCATGTACTGTGTGACATTAGAGATTTGCTTCTTCTCTGTCTGCTCTGTTGAAGTGTAAGTTCCATGAGAGCAGGGCCCTCTTGTTTCCTGTGGATCTGTAATGGCCAGACTAGTGCTGGGAACATAGTAAGTGCTTAATATTTTTTGACTAGATGAATGAATGAATGAACGGGGAGGGGAGTACAAGTTGGGATAGGGAAAGGAGGGGCCTTGCGTGGACCTGGTACTTTGCCAGGAATGAAGGGGGCGTGATTAACTGGTCCCTTTTATCTGAAATTCAAATTAGACAAAAGATTTTGGTAAGGTAATTAGGTATAATTATTTAAAACTTACACAGTGAGTTTTTTTTTTTTAAGATTTTATTTATTTGACAGAGACACAGCGAGAGCAGGAACACAAGCAGGGGGAGTGGGAGAGGGAGAAGGAGGCTTCCCGCCGAGCAGGGAGCCCGATGCGGGGCTCGATCCCAGGACCCCGGGATCGTGACCTGAGCCGAAGGCAGACGCTTAACGACTGAGCCACCCAGGTGCCCCTACACAGTGAGTTATAAGAGCTCACACTAGGCTTATCAATAAGACATGTAAGACAAAGAGAAGATCCAGAAAGCCTCCGGAGAGGTGATATGTGGAGGACTGGGAGCCAGAACAGCACCAGTTTTCTCCATCATAATATCAGAAATGAGAAACAATGAGGCAATGCCTTCTAATTCTAGATAAACCATTTCCAACCTAGAATTTCCTACCCAGCCAGCCAGTTAAGTGTGAAGGCAGGTTAAAGACATTTATAGCTTTCGGTTTGCTAAGCAGATGTCGGATGTTGGAAGTGTTGGTCTTTACAGGCTCTGGGAGTAGAAGGGTGTTGATAGCAGCAGGGAGGGGGTTAACTGAAGTGCTCATATTCTCCTGGCTGGGCAGGGATTTAACCGCCACCATGTCCAGCAAAAGGAGCAAAGACCAGGACCACCAAGAAGCACCCCCAGTGCTCAACATCCAACGTGTTCGCCATGTTTGACCAGTCACAGATTCAGAAATTCAAAGAGGCCTTCAACGTGATTGATCAGAGCAGAAAGGGTTTCATTGACAAGGAAGATATGTATGCTATGCTGCCTGCCTGGGGGAAAATCCAACTGTTGAGCTTCTGGATGCCATGATAAATGAGGCTCTGGGGCCCATAAATTTCACCATGTTTTTCACTGTGGTGAAAAGCTAAATGGCACAGATCCGGAAGATGTCCTCAAAAATACTTTTGCTTGCTTTGATGAAGAAGCAGTTGGCACCGTCTGGGGTGATTACCTGAGAGAGCTGCAGACGTCGGTGGGAGGCCACGTTACAGGTGGATGAGCTGTACAGAGGAGTGTCGAGACAAAAAGGGAAATCTCAATTCATGTGCTCCCTTAAACACGGAGCAAAGGACAAAGATGACTGAAAAGAAATTCAGATTCCAGCCAAACATTCCTTGTTGCCACTTGGGGTATTTCTGAGACTTTCTCTTAGACCCTGTTGCATGCTCTTAGTTTTGCAGCTTTTGCCTGTCTTGTACTGATTCTCAGCCATTTGGGGCACATGCATCCCTATAATCAGACGGAAGGGGAGGATTTTTTACAATTTTCAGAATAGAAAAATGGGCAGTTTAACTTACCAGCCCCCTCCCCAAAATAACTGCAGTCTACACAGAGTCAGTATGTATTTTTAGAGAAAGAGATCTGACCCGAGCCAGGCAAAAGGAATGTCCTGGGGCGCCATGGAAGGGTGGTCTCAGCTGTGCGCCAGGCTGAGGGAGGGGTAGTTCAAGTTGAACCAGGGGTGACAGAAGGCTCCAGGTGGGAGGCTTCTAAAAATAAAAGTGGAACCTGCCATCTTTGGCCCCTGTTGACATGAATTTTTTATTATATCACAGCATTTGGGGGTAAGGTAGTAATACACTAAAATTCAAGTGAAAAAACAGCTATTTATTTTAGGAGAACAAAGTTGTACAAGAAAGGTTATGTGATCATGAGAAATGTAAAAATGTAGTCACATGGTTTAGCTCTGAATGATGTTGCTGTTTCCTCACCATAAGGAAAATTATGACTTCAGAAGAAATTGTGATATAAACAGATTGGCAGAATGAAGGGAGAGGTAGTAGTTGTATTTATGTGTGTTTAGGTGGTGGGGATGATTCATTCACCTTCCAGAAGCAGAAAACCAATAGACGAGATCTCACATACCAGTGTCTATTATATTTTCATTCCTTTTCTGTATATTTTTCTGTATTTTTATTTTTTTCTGTATTTTTTTTAAAGTTTTACCAGCATCCATTCTTTTTTTTTTTAAGATTTTATTTATTTATTCATGAGAGACAAGAGGGGGAGAGAGAGAGAGAGAAGCAGAGGGAGAAGCAGGCTCCCAAGGAGCAGGGAGCCCGATGCGGGACTCGATCCCAGGACCCTGGGATCATGACCTGAGCCGAAGGCAGACGCTTAACCATCTGAGCCACCCAGGTGCCCATATTTTTCTGTATTTTTAAAAATTTCACAATTTTTTGAAAGGAAACTTTGACGAATAGACCTGTACAAAAAGGCAAATAATGCATAATCCCAGCACTCAGAAGAAATCACTGCTCACATTGTAGTATATATCCTTCTGTACATACAGAGGTACGTGTGTTCCTTCAAATCTAAATACACTTGTGCGTATATTTACTATTAAATTGGATACATGATATTGAGACACCTGGTTGGCTTAGTTGGTGGAGCACGCAACTCTTGATCTCAGGGTTGTACGTTTGAGCCCCACATTGGGTGTAGAGATTACTTTTTTTTTCTAAAGATTTTATTTATTTATTTGAGAGAGAGAGAATGAGAGATAGAGAGCATGAGAGGGAAGAGGGTCAGAGGGAGAAGCAGACTCCCCGCTGAGCAGGGAGCCTGATGTGGGACTCGATCCCGGGACTCCAGGATCATGACCTGAGCCGAAGGCAGTCGCTTAACCAACTGAGCCACCCAGGCACCCTGGGTGTAGAGATTACTTAAAAATAAAATCTTAAAGGAAAATATGGATCATATTATATATGGTTCCCAAATGCCAGTCCCTGGGCCCTTTGTATGACAATCATCTGAGCAGTTTTTTGAAAATAAACTCCCCAAAGCTCCCATTCCAAAAAGTTCAATTCAGTAGTCTGGGTGTGGGCTCCAGGTCACTTTTTTTTTTCTTGAAATTTTTTATTGTTATGTTAATCACCATACATTACATCATTAGTTTGTGATGTAGTGTTCCATGATTCGTTGTTTGTGCATAACACCCAGTGTTCACGCAGAATGTGCCCTCTTTAATACCCATCACCAGGCTAACCCATCCCCCCACCCCTCTCCCCTCTAGAACCCAGAGTCCATCGTCTCTCATGGTTCATCTCCCCCTCTGATTTACCCCCCTTCTTTCTTCCCCCCCTTCTTTTTTTTTTTTTTTTTCCTTAACATATATTGCATTATTTGTTTCAGAGGTACAGATCTGTGATTCAACAGTCTTGCACAATTTCACAGCACTCACCATAGCACATACCCTCCCCAATTTCTTTTCCCCCGCCCCCCCCCCCCCCCCACCCCCCACCACTCCAGCAACCCTCAGTTTGTTTCCTGAGATTAAGAATTTCTCATATCAGTGAGGTCATATGATACATGTCTTTCTCTGATTGACTTATTTCACTCAGCATAACACCCTCCAGTTCCATCCATGTCGTTGTAAATGGCAAGATCTCATTCCTTTTGATGGCTGCATAATATTCCATTGTATATACATATACCACATTTTCTTTATCCATTCATCTGTCGATGGACATCTTGGCTCTTTCCACAGTTTGGCTATTGTGGACATTGCTATAAACATCGGGGTGCACATACCCCTTCGGATCCCTACATTTGTATCTTTGGGGTAAATACCCAGTAGTGCAATTGCTGGATCATATGGTAGCTCTGTTTTCAACTGTTTGAGGAACCTCCATACTGTTTTCCAGAGTGGTTGCACCAGCTTGCATTCCCACCAACGGTGTAGGAGGGTTCCCCTTTCTCCGCATCCCTGCCAACATCTGTCGTTTCCTGACTTGTTAATTTTAGCCATTCTGACTGGTGTGAGGTGGTATCTCATTGAGGTTTTGATTTGGATTTCCCTGATGCCGAGAGATGTTGAGCACTTTTTCATGTGTCTGTTGGCCATTTGGATATCTTCTTTGGAAAAATGTCTGTTCATGTCTTCTGCCCATTTCTTGATTGGATTATTTGTTCTTTGGGTGTTGAGTTTGATACGTTCTTTATAGATTTTGGATACTAGCCCTTTATCTGATATGTCATTTGCAAATATCTTCTCCCATTCGGTTGGTTGTCTTTTGGTTTTGTTGACTGTTTCTTTTGCTGTGCAAAAGCTTTTTATTCCAGGTCACTTTTTGAAAGTTATCCAGGTGGGGGATGCCTGGCTGGCTCAGTCAGTAGAGCACGTGACTCTAGAGCTCCGTACTATGAGTTCAAACCCCTTGTTCGGTGTGGATGTTGCTTGAAAATAAAATCTTTAAAAATAAAAAATAAATAAAAAATAAAGTTATCCGGGTGATTCTGATGCATGGTTAGGTTTGGGAACACCATTTTGTAAATGGCTTTCTTACTGTCATTTGATATTTTTCTCCCTCATCGTTGTTTAGGCTGCAAGGTAGTTCAACTATGTAAGACTTTGCTAAGTGGTCTTTTCTTGTCTCCAGGAAAAGAGAGGGAACAAAGCATCTGATAAAGCTGCTGTCTTGGCCTTTGATGCCCTGGTGACCTTCTGTGAAGAATTGGGGTGAGTGACTTATTTAATATGCGGAGCAATGGGTTAGTGAGATCTCCCCCCCCGCCCCCACAGCACCTACTAGTTAACCAGCTAACATAGGGCAGCTGTTGGGCCACCAAGGCATGCTGCCTGCTGAAGGCTACTGTGTGGGGCATTTCCTATCAGGCAGTCTGGAAGTCCGTATCCTTGCCAGGAAGGCCCCAGAAACTAGCAGTGTGAAGACTCATTCAGTATTTTGGGTGGTCATCCATTCAGCCCACTCCATTCACTTCTGGAGTAGATGGTCCCATAAATGACCCCGTCATGTATCATGTGATTGGTTCTGAGCCATTAGCATTGTGGTCATCACTTGACACTGAGCTGGACCACTGGCTTCACTTGAGTAGGAGTCACTTTTATCCTGGACCCAAAAAGAGCCACGTGACCTACCGTATCTTTTGGGGGTAGATAATAAGCTTGGAGAGAAGTCAGCTTTTCTATCGTAACACCAGCCCGCCTGCTTGGAATCCACTTCTCTGTTTTCTCTGTATGTGCTGGTGGCAGAGGCTTGAAAGAGCCTGATGGCTGCTCAGTGACAGGCAGGTTGTGGCAGGACAGGTTCGGGACATGAGGGACAGCCAGGATGATTCTGGACGAGCTGGGAGCACTTTGCATGTGTGCAGCCCTTTGATCTGAAGAACTCATATTGGTCTCCCTGTGAGGTAGATGAGGCAGAAGTGATTGCTTCAGACCTAGAGATGAACAGACCGATGCCCAGAGAGGTCATGGTCACAAAGCTCACAGTAGACAGACACCACTAATCTGGGTTTCCCGATTTTTAGTGACATGCGCATTTCATATACATGTCCCATCTTGGTTTTTGCAAGACTAGATTTTTGAAGCCTGGAGCTGAGTAAGTACATAGACCTGGTATCTAGCAGATGTTTGGGGCTCTCATCTGGAAACCAGAGAGGTACTTATTTGGGCCATGTATTTTGATTCCCACCCCCTCCTACTCACTGATGATTTGGTGGCTCCTCTGAGTCTCTCCTCTGGCCTCTGTGGCACGCCCAGCAGAGGTGGTTGGCACCCTTGCCCACAGCCATCTCGACCAGAGCCCTTTTCAGGCACTAGTGGAGGGAGTTAAGTTAGGCCCTCTCGGGCTCCTTGAGGAAAACGCTCGTAATGGAAGGGCCGGGTATCCTTGCTCGTTGTCAGAGTCCCTTCTGCTGGAAATACCCCTGCTGGGTTCTTTTCTGGGATGAGTCTGAGGCTCTGTGGGACTGTCTGAAGGGTTAGCTCTGCCATATGCCTCTGGGCTGCAGCCGCCCAGCAACTGGCCAGGTCCTACTAGGGGCCCCTGCCTTTATTTCTCCTGTGTCCTACTGGGGAGCTGGGGCCTCTCAGTGCACCTGGGGGTCTCCGCGTCAGTGGGCCTCCCGCTGTGCCACACGCAGCCTCATCTCTCCTACGTCGTGTGCTGCGTACGAGGGCTCCTGATTCCAGGACTGCCTGGCATGGAATAAGCACTGCTGTCGTGGCTGAGTGTGCAATTGCTCTTTGAGTGAAAAAGAAATGTCTTTATTTGCATAAGTGGTGTATCACCCGTTCCCCACCAGATATTTGCTCTTTTTCTAAGAATAGTCCTGGTTTGTGGTTTAAGTGAAAGCAGCTGTTTGCTAAGGGAGGGCACCTGGCTGCCAGGGCCAGTCCAGTGTGGCGGCTTTGGCAGAGGCAGGTACACCTCTACAAAGATGGTGTTGTAGGGTGGTCTTGGGTGCGTGGGGGCTGTGGGACCCTGTGAGGGAGACCTGGGCATCTCTGGGACCAGTGGCAGAGACACTCAGGTCAGTATGAATGAGGTCGGGGCAGGGCATCCAGCGGTGCTCCGCTCTCCTCCGTGTCCAGCTATGGCCGTGACAAGCATTTGTTCACTCCGGACGGTGCTCTTCATCTCTTAGTGTCAAAAGGAACCGTCATTAGGTTGAAGCAACTTCCGGCTCAGAGGCCTCTGTACCTCGTCTGAGATAGAAGAACAGCTTTGTGTTTGGGCCTCAACTGAACTGGGGCGCTGTCATCTGGGGACTGTGGTCTGGGGGGAGCAGGCAGCCCAGCATCTTTCTGTCTGTCCATTTGTTTGATCATTTATTCATTTATTCAACCAGCAAATATTGTTTGAAACGGACTCTGCTCCAGGTACATTGGGTATGGGGGTACAGTGGTGAGCAGGAAGAGACCCTCCCCTGCTTTTGTGGTGTTCTGTTCAGTGGGGAAGACGGGCACTTCTCAGATAATCACATTAGTTAATTAATTAATTATGTTAACATATATGTATAATTGCAGACTCTTAAAAGGGCTTTGAAGAAAAGGTACATGGTGTTTTGAGAGTTAACAGGTGGGCCCCTTCTTGGCCCCCCCAGAAAGTCAGGTCACGACTCTTCATACTGCTTGACCTTAAGTGGAGGGAGTAAACCAAATATAATGGCAAACACAATGAGAAACAGGATCGTGGTGATGAATAAGCAGATCACTGCCAGGCCTCCCTGGTCCCACGGATTTTGCCAGAACTCATCATTCCACATGAACTTCTGGTTTGTCAGTTTGTCCATGTGAACCTGGAAAAGAGGGCACAGAGGCCTTGAGTGCCAGGGCCTCTCGAAGGCCCTGTCCCAGGCGCTGCTGTCCACCCCAACTTCATCCTCTGGAGTGGTCTCAGACCAGCTGTCCCACCTCTGCAGGGATGCTGGGCTCCACGCCCTGGTGTGAGCAGGAACTTTCCCATCCCTGAGATTTACTCAGCTAGAATCTAAAACGCACCGCTACAGATCCTTGCTGTTTTCCCTGCCTCAACTGCCAAACATTTGGGAAGCATTTTGAGAGATCAGCATTGGAGTTGAGGAGCGGACTGAGTCCACCCGAGGCCTCAGTAAGCTCCCCTGGAGGCAGCTGGAAACAGAAGAACTAGCTAATCTTGAAGCAGCTCAGATGGGCAGGCTGCGGGCCGGGAGCCAGTTGAGGGGAGTAGCGGCGAGAAGGAAGGAGTCACTACCTGATTCTGCTGTTAACACTCCCGTGTCCTAAGAGCGGGCCGGTCAGAGTAATCCTGCAGGCCCCACGCTTTGGGGGCCCGAGCCGCACCCTGACTGTTGCGAGGAAAAGGTGTTGGCATGGCCAAGTGGCCCTGACCAGACCTCATTGCTGTCACGGGAGTGAACAAAGGGGGCTACGGCCCGTTGCCTAGCAACTGCCTTCCCCTTCTGCTTTTTGTACTTACCCCTTCAGCTGCGTTCTGTTCTTTTTGTGATGTCGTTTTGGGGGCTGCTCAGGGTAGTATGTTCAGGCGTCCTCACTGAGAGAAGTCAGGCTTGGGGTAAGGTGGGGAAGGAGACTGGATCCAGGACCCTTGCCTCAGGCCACCTGTCTGCCTTACCTGTGGCTGGGTCCTGCCTCTCCTCTCTATCTAGCTGCCAGCCTGTGGACTAGGAGGTCTTGGCCAGAGTGCAGGAAGCCCAGGACTCCAGGAAGCCCTGGGCTGGAGCCGCACCCGGGCTGCTCTCTTCCTGTGGTGCTGGGGGGGGGCTGGTGAATGGTTAACTAGCTCTAGCTGGCGCCTTCCGGAACGAGGTGTTTATCACCATTGAGACCCCAGGGTCCTGTGGAGGCTAACTTTTCCCTAGTGCCTTTGCCGGCCTCTCAGCTGCTTCATGTGGTTGGGTCCTACCCACTGGTGTGATGGATGGGGCAGTGAGGAAGCAGAAATGGAAACCTAGCGCCACCATTTATTCTTTAAAAGTTAGGATTCAAGTGCTTGGTGTGGCCAGGAACTGCGCTAGGTACCTCATGTCCATTGTGAACCAAGTGAGGCAGGCCCTGCCCATCCAGGCTTCCATTCTAGGTCGCTGGTCCTCAGCCCTGCTCATTAGAATCATCTGGGCCCTGCCTGGTATCACTTAGTTCAGTCTCTGGGCAGTCAGAGCCCCGTGCTCTGTAAAGCCTGCGGAGCAATGCTAATGAGCAGCCGAGGTTGGAGGAGACAGATGATGAGCGAGTTCAGTAAAGTCCTTCTTGACTGTCATGGGCTCACCTGATGTTTCGAGTTTCCCTCCGTAAAACATACTGACGCATGCCCTTGGCTGCTGAACGCTCCCAGACAGCAGGCTGGTCTCTAGCACAGCTGCCTACTTCCTCCATCAGTGAAGTTGGTTGCTTATCAGGAGTCAGCTGTTTGTTCCCAAACCTGTTTGTGGCATTTGTCCTTGTTATTGTAATGACATAATCACACTTAATGTTACATAAGAATATGGAGCAACAGGAATCGCTGAAACCCCAGTTTTACAGCTGTGGAGCAGGCACCGAGGTGAAGCAACTCACCCAAGGTCATCCAGCTAAGAAGTAACTGCTTGGGGGTTTAAACCCAGCTGTGGAGCTCGGCTACAGAGACTGAGCTCCGAAGCTCCCTGCCACACCTCAAGGGGGCGGGGGTAGTGTGGGGTTGAGGGGGTGGGAGTTGTTGCTATAAGCACCTATTTGGCCACTTTGGAATGACTTTGGAATCACTCAGTATGTCTGTCAAAACAGATGTGGCAAGACAACTGGAAACATGTTGCAAAAATCCAGGATTTCACATGCTGATTTCTGTGGATGTCTTTTAAGTTCTTGTTCTGATTTATAATAACCACAATTAGCAAATAGCCAATATAGGAACTCTGGCCAACAAACCCCACACTCGGAGGAAAGGCTTTGGCCCTACAGCAAAAATATTGGCCAAGGAATGTGCACGTATATGTTTCCATTTAAAATGAGTTGTGTCGGGAATGTTTTGTGTCATGTGCACAAAAGTGGCTTTAACCAACTCTTCCAGCTAATTGCTGGCCCTGATCAGAAAATCCTCCGGAAATGATCATCATGAAGGGAACATGATGGGAAGAGGTGGAGAATGCTGTTGGTGTGTGTGGTGTGGCCTGGCCTGGGGGCGGAGGGGATCCCCCATAAGGAGTGAGGTTAGGGTGAGGCATGAAGACCATGGAAGAGTAGGACCAGGGCACAGTGTTTCATGGCAGGCAGCAGGTCCTGAGGAGGGTGAGGAAACTACTTTTGAGAACAAAATTGTCCTCAGTTTTTGGGTCTGGAAGTTGTGTTACCCACAGGCAACTATGTCGTGAAGATTTTTACTGTAGGTTGATCTTGAACGTTAATGTTTGAGAAAACAGATTTAGGAGAAGAGTGTTTTATGTGCTGTCTGCCAGGTTTTGCTAATGAGATTCTTGTACCCGGGGCTCTACTGTGGTTTCTTTCTTTTTTTTTTTTAAGATTTTATTTATTTATTTGAGAGAGAGAGAATGAGAGATATAGAGCACGTGAGGGAAGAGGGTCAGAGGGAGAAGCAGACTCCCCGCTGAGCAGGGAGCCCAACGCGGAACTCGATCCAGGGACTCCAGGATCATGACCTGAGCCGAAGGCAGTCGCTTAACCAACTGAGCCACCCAGGCGCCCCTCTACTGTGGTTTCTGATAAGGCATAAGAGCCGGTAAAATGCACAGGATCTTGAGTGTGGATCTTTGGAGGAAGCGAGAGGCTCCTGTGGAGTAGAGGCCAGAGTCAGGGGAGGCCTGATGAGGCTGGGAAATTGGTGCAGCAATGATCACAGGCAGACTTGGGGGTGGCTCGTTCCAGTGGACCTGGTGGCAGGAATGGAGACCTGTGATAGCCAGATGCCCTTCAGGGCACAGACAGCCTGCTGGCCTCCCGTTCCATGGCCACCATTGCTGTGCCTCTCTTGTTTGTTCTTTCCCACAATGGGGGGATTGCTGCTTCCTCTCCCTGCCTCTCTTCCCTAGAAGACCCGTGCTGGGAGTGTGCCAGGCTGCTGTCGCAGTGGAGCCGATCTGATTTGTTGAGCTGAGTGGCACCGAAGCCTGCCCAGGACTGCCGTGGGGAGCCATTAGTGGTGGGGCTCTGCGTGGGCCAGTTTGCTGCCAAGTGGGAAGGAGTAAGCCTTCCCAGCAGCGCAAGGATGGCATCTTACTTGGGCTCAGCAGTTAGGAGGAGGAGAATGCCAAAGAAACGGCCCATGGTCACCACCTCTTGGCATCCAGACCATGGAGCCAGAATCTCCTAGCAAAGAGGCACAGCCTCAGGAAGGGACATTCTTAGTGCTGATGTAAACTTGCTTAAGGGAGAGGCCCACGGGAATTGGGCTGCCCCGCTGTTGAGCATCTCCTCAATTGAGGGCTTCCTGGGGCCCCTCCAGCTCTTGGTGCCCGGACTGAAAAGGGCAGGGTTTCCCATCTGGGTCCCTCCCATCTTCCCTGTTTTCCTTCTGGGAGGGAGACTTAGTTGGGCCCCACCCTACCTCTTACTTCTTCTTCGGGCTCCACCCACTCACAGGGAGGTGATTTTAAGACAGTTTGGGGTGTGGGATCTAAGATTGGTTGATGGAGGATAATGGGACGGGAGTCTTATCTGCACTGCAGCTGGGAGGCCTCAGGGCCTGGGTGTGGCAGGCAGGGGCTCTGCAGCTGGGTGGGCTGGGCCCAGAGGCTGACTCTGCCACTTTTTAGCTGGTTGAACTTATGAAAGTGACCCAGTGTCACTAAGGCTCAATTTCCTCATTTCTAAAATAGGGATAATAATGGTACCCATGGCACTGAGGCTGTTGTGATCAAACGAAATCACCTGCATCAGAATGCTTTAGGCTTGGGGCGCCTGGGTGGCTCAGTTGGTGAAGTGTCTGCCTTCGGCTCAGGTCATGATCCTCGGGTCCTGGGATCTAACGTCACATCAGACTCTGCTACAGCGGGGAGACTGCTTCTCCCTCTCCCTCTTCCTCTGTGCCCTCCCTCCCCTCTCTCTCTCTCAAATAAATAAAATCTTTAAAAAAAAAATGCTTTAGGCAGTGACCAAGCACACATAAGCCTTCAGGGAATTTCAGCCAACCTGATCATCACCTGCCACCTTCACCATCCTCATTGTTACCATTGTTACTCTGAATCCCGTTCTTGTGGGGTGGGTACAGGCTGGTTCTTGAATTTCTTTTCTTTTGTGTGGAAGGACTTCCTCTCTGGGTCTTCAACCTAAACCAAACCCGTCAGACAAGTCAGTGGACCCCAGGAAGTGAAACCAGGCAGAGTTTCTCCCACCTGCCCGGCATCCCCCTCTCCACTCCGTTTCTCTAGATAGACAGGGCTCCACCCCTAGTGGCTCTGGCGGACCAGCGGGGATGGAGGGGGAGGTACCATGGAGAGCTTTTGACTCCCCCAACCTCTTACTCCCCCAACCTCTTTCCTGGGTCGATAGCTCTACCTGGAAGAGAAAGTGAACCGAAGGGAGGGAGGCAGGGTGGTGTTACATTGTGGCAGGGCCAGTCCTTAAAATGGGTCCATGTTGCTCTTGTTTAGAGGGGCAGATAATGATGATGGTTCATATCTCCAGAGCTTAGGATATGCCCAGTACTGTGCCAAGTGCTTGCTGCAGGTCATCTCCGTTTCTCCTCACAAGCTCACCCCAGGAGGCAGCTTCCGGGGTTAGCGGAGTCTCAGAGGGGAGGAAATGTGGCTCAGGGAGGTTGAATCACTAAGCCGCATTCACACAGCTGGTGAGTGGCGGGGTGAGGATTTGCACCCGGACAGCCTGGTACACGATGGGGAAGACTGAGGGGTCAGGATGCAGGTTATGGACAGCAGTAGGGGCCTGACCTCTCTTCTCTGACTCCAGAAGTTTGGGAAGATCCGGTGGCCTGAGCCCGCTGGTGTGGGCTGTGCAGGTAAAGTAAGTGGTGGCAGAAGCTGTGGAGTGGCCTTCCTGAGCCCAAAACCCGGGTGCATGCAGTGGGGGCATCTGGAGCCAGAGCTCGTTAACAGCTGCTACCAACGGGACTTTCACCCTGACCCTTCCCTGGTTCCCTCTTGCATGGCATTCCTGCCTGTGTGTTTTTCCAGCTTTCGTGGGCACAGGGAGTGCAGAGGCCTGGCAAGGACAGTCACTGGCCACACCCCTGGAATTCTGGCACATTGCCCTTTGGAAGCACCAAGCCCAGGCCAGGGAGTCTGGTGCCGCAGAAACACATAAACAGAAAGCTTTTACTGGGAAAGAAACGGGCAAATACTGGAGCAGAATACTGACATGCTCCCCTCTGGTGGGAAGCTTGGGATCCAGTAGCTATTGCACAAAGCCCCTCTTTGGCATGGGGGCCCCAAGGGCCAGCTCCCCACGGATGCAGGCTGTTCTCCATCCAAGTATGGGGACCCTGCTTCTGTGTTTTGTTAAAAGGTGCAGGTTGGGAAAGAATCCCCAGTTTTTCTTTACTCGGTGCTTGAAACAGTTGACTCCTCCCCGGCCCCCTGGGGTTTCCTGGCAGGTCAGAGTTTGGTGGCTGTCCCAGCCCTTGCTTTCTTGGTAAGGTTGCAGGTGGCGGGTTCCCAGGCAGGGCCGGAGCTGGGGCCATGGAGCGCGGTCTTGTGGGCTGAGGGCCGCAGGGCCAGGTGGCACCTAGGGTCACGGCTTTGGCGGCCTCCTCACCAGCGTGCCGTCCTCACGCCTGCCCCTCACGGTGGGGTCACGGGCTGGGCATGGACCTTCCCGCGTCTGCGCTTAGCGTGGCAGCGGCAGCAGGCGGTCAGCAGCAGCAGCAGCACAGTAGCTGGGGGAGGAGACAGAAGCAGAGAGCACGGGAAGCTCAGGCGGGGGGCGGGGGGGGAGCACACACCCCCGACTTCAAAGGAAACCCCTCTGGAGGTGTGTGGGATCTTTGCCCAAAGAGAGTCTGGCGGGAGGTGTCGGTGGTCCCCGTGCCGGCCACTGGGCCCTGACCTCCCTGTCCTGCCTCCTCCGTTGCCCACAGCCTCGCTCCCTTCATCCCTGGTTGGGATTCGGGGCTGCTTCTGGGCCCTGCTTCCGGCACCACCCCATCACTGGAGCAGCTTGTCGAGGATTAGGGCGGTCCCTTGGCTTTCCCCCAGGGACATCTGCTTCTCCTCCTCGGTCTGGGGGACACCTAGCCAGCCCTCTGGCTAGCACCCCAGTCTCACCTTTCCTGGACGCGAGAAGCGCCAGGGCCGCCGGGGAGAGTGGGAGAGCCCCAGCTTACCTGTGAAAAGGAGGATGACCGAGAAGGCCACGATCTCCACAGGCTCAGCCTGCGGTAGTCTCTGCAGCTTGAGCAGCAGCTTCTCACCCACGGAGCGCATCTCCTGCACAAAGCTGGCAGCTGCCATGGTGCGCCGGGCTCCTGCCGGGCTCCTGCCGGGCTCCTGCCGGGCTCCTGCGGGCTCCTGCGGGCGTGCTGAGCAGAGACAGGGCTGGGAGGCCCCACCCACCTGCAGCCCGCAGAACGAGTTCGTCAGGTCTCACCCCTGTACCCCTGTGGCTCATGAGCGGGGAGGGAACCACTGGGGCCCTCAGCCCCCACCCAGCCGACACCACCCGCGGTGGGGGAAGCTGGTGACGGCAGGGAGCCCGAGGCCCTGCCATGGGGGCTGCCTGGCACAGCCAGACACAGGAGAGGTCTGTCAGCCGGCCATGGTTGGCCAAGGTTCCTGACTTCGAGGTGGGGTGACTTCACTGTTACATTCCTTTGTCTCAGGCACCACTCCTGGTTTTGCTGGGGCGCCTAGAGCTGGCACAGCTCCCCTGGTGACCCCTGGGTCCTTCAGAACTTTGGGTGCCTCCCCTCAGTTCCCAGCAGGGAGACAGGGCTTTAGGATTCCAGCCTGATACTCTTGCCTCCCATCATATGTGGGGCAGAAGGATCAGGTTCTTCTTCCAGCATGCACATGGGGGCTTCTAGCTAGGGTCAGCTGGAGGTGAGAGCTAATGGGGAGGTGGTCTGAGCCCCTTCAGGGCCCCCCGCAGCCCAATTTCTTTACTCATTCAGTGTTCTTTGAGGTGAAAGAGATGACGTTGTGTTCCTGCAGTTTTTCCCAAGGGGATCCTCTCAGGATGGGATCAGGCTGGTTTGCCAGCCCCTCCTCTGCTGGTTCAGACCAGGAGAGTCCCCTCTGCCCCTACCCCTGTCCCAGCTATGTGGCAACTCAGCCCTCCAGGCCCCTGACTGAGAGCTTCTGAATCCTGTCCAAGGGTGCCCGACAGGCTGAAGGGGAAGTTCCAGGCTAGGAGTGTGAGCTGGGGCTAGACATCAGTGTCTTTCCCCTCCGGCCTCAGCCCATCAGTGGACACAAGGGAGCAAGTGCCTCTTCAGAGATGGACCAGGGACAGCTTGTGCCAACCCAGCCTGAACTTGTTCACCAAGGCAGCTCTAATCCAAGGGAGGGTAACAGGTGGCCAGGGGCTTGTGCCAGACCTGAGGATCTAATTACTGCCGCCTCGTCCTGGGTCAGGGCCAGGCAGGTTCCCCTGAGATGGCTGCAGTCTTGGAAACCGGTCACTGCTGGGACTCCCGCCGCGGTAGAGCTGTCTTAGAATTACCTTGAAGGTTGTCTGCTTGAACCTTTTACCCTGTACCTGGCTCCCTGCATTTCTTCTGGCATGCAGCCTTTTCGTGAGCCTCTCTTGGTGAGATGGGGGGGTCCCACCTGCTATGGCAGCCTACCCTCTTCCTTCTTGGAACAGCGCTGATTGTTGGAAGGTGGGACCTCCTCCTCACCTCATTGGTCCCGCCTGTGGTCACACAGGACACTTGAACCCCTCTTCTGCCTTGCAGGCCTTCGGGACCTGGACGGCAGCTGGCATGTGCCTCCTGTGTCTCCTCTTCCACAGGGTAACTGCTCTCGGTTGGTCAGCTGCTGCTCCAGGGGACATTGTTTTGATGCCGCCTGCCCCCCTTCTCGCTTCCGTGACATTGACATGTCTCACTTTGCCTCTCTTGAGTCTTTCTTTTCCTCATTTTACGTGAGAGGAGATGCCCATCTTTCGAGGCTGTTGGATTGACTCCTGGAAGCACAGTGGCGGCTAGCACAGATCCTCGCACACGTTGGGGCCCTGCACATGTGATTCCCCTCGGGGCAGGGGGCGTCTGGCCACTGTAGGAGCATCAAGGAAGCCTTTGGGGGCAGTCGTACCCCCTTGTACACTGTTTCAGGGACCCTCCCCAAACACCTCTGGGGAGCTTCATCTATGTCCTGCGTTCCCAGGATGTTTGTGGTGTGTGAGGTGAAGGCAGGTGGTGGGGCAGGCTGGAGACGGGAGCTGTGTTTTAAGTGACGTTGAGGGTAGCAGGCAGATGGGTCCCTGGAGGATTAGAGGGTTTCCTGTCAGAAGTGGGAGGCTCCTGGAGTTAGATCCTCCTGTCTTCTCTCACGCCCCACCCCAGGGTCAGCATGTTTCTGCAAAGGAGATCAAGATCCCAGTTTCCAAGTGTACTAAGGAGCACGGGATCCTAGAATGCCACGGATCATCTATCCCTGCTTCCCTTTATGTATGGGAAACAGAGCCGGGAGAGTAGAGAGAGTTAAGTGGCTCCTCTGAGGTCACACAGCAGGATGGGGAGCCTGGCCAGCCCCCCTACTGCCCCATGCTGTCTCTCATGGAGACCTATCTTAGGCAGCCTCCTCTCTGGCTGGCAAGGCAAGTCAGCCCCCAGTGCGGCCTACTGAGGGCACTGTCCATGCAGTAGGTGCAGTGCAGGGACCAGGGCCCCAGAGCCCTTTGGAAGCGGGTGTGCTCTGCCTGATCAGCCCCATTCCACACTCATGAATCTGGAGCACTGCTTTTATTCAGGCACCTCACGCCCCGGCCAGGGCCACACCTGTTCTTTGAGAAACACATGTAGCTTGTCACCAGAAGGCCAGATCTTGTCTGTCTCAGATTCACCAAACTCCTTCCCATGCATAGGGCCCCTCTTCTCTGGTCACACTGAACACGCCCCGCCCCCGCCTCCTGTTGACCAGTGAAGTGGGCTTGCACCAGGAGGGTGGTCCCCTCTCATTCCGGGGCCTCTCTGGGTGTCCTCAATTCCCGTGTTTCTAGGAGTGCAGTAGCCTGCCTGCCGGTCTCATTCCTGGAGGAGGGAACAGGTGCCCAGCAACGCCCCGGGGGAGACTTTGCACAGGGCTCAGGAGTTGGGCACCTACCTTTTCTCCTCCCTTCTTTGTCTCCGCTTGGTCTGGCTTCTTCAGCCTGATTGGCCCTGTGCCTGCATTGCCTAATGTAGCCATCAGAGACTCCTTGAAAGAGGAAGCGGGCAGAGGCCAGCGGGGCAAGAGTGGCTTTTTCACTTGTGTTTCCAGGTCCAAAGACTCGGGGAGGGATAGTGGAGAGGAGGGCTCTGCTTGTGAGCAAGAAGCGGTGTGGAGACCCGGCCAGTCTGAGGGGTGTGACCTCCAGAGTAGGGAGGATGCAGGTTAGGCCCAGGCTGCTCAGCTGTGCAGGGAAGGTGGGCTTCATTGGTCAGAAGCTTCGGCTCTGAAGTCGGCCATCCTCCAGGCATTGTGAAGTCAGGACGCTGCAGAGTCCCACCCAGAGGACTCTGGGACATAGGGCCCCACTCTGGGAGGAATGCCAGTCCACGCTAGTGGCAGGACGTGGCTGGGGCCATGTGGCCGTGGATGGCATTGTGCCTTTGCGCCCAGGGCCTCTCTGGTGAGCTGAGTTAACCAGCTGTACCAGCTCTGGGGTTTCATCCCGGCTGCTCACTGATTCTGTCTGAGCTGTGAACGGGATGGGGCCACTGGACAACCGAGGTTCTGCCCTGAAGGCTGACAGGGAACCCCTTTGTTTTTCAGTTGACGTTCTGCCATTTCCACCTTGGGCTTGAGCAGAATAAACTTTAGTGGGTACCGTGGGAGCTGGAGGCACCTTGTTCTCCTAAGAGGGAGGAGGCACATTCCAGCAGGTCCCAGGCTCTCTTCCCAGTGGGCTATTTAAAGAGAGGCCCGGGGGGTGCCTGATGCCTGGTGCCCAATATAACCATCAGTCGTCAGGTGACCGTGCGGTATGTTCCTCAGCCATGGTTCTGTAGGGAGTCCCAGTTCCCAGCTGTGACCCAGGGAACGTGGGTACTCTGAGGCTGGCTGCTTCTTGTCCGTTTTACTTTCTCAGGTTTGGAGGGAGGAAGACAGGGAAGGCCGGAGTGGGTACTGATGATCGCGTTTATCTTTCTGGTCTATCTCAAGGAGATAGGAGGGTCATCCATTCTCCTTCCAAAACTGTACTTCCCTGTGAACCAAGGCAGTCAGAGTCCGTCCCAGCCCTGTGAGGCTCGGGAGTGCTTTGGTTGGAGGCAGCCAAAGCAAGTGGGTTCCCACGGCCCCAGGAAGGGAGAGCAGCCTTGGCTTGCCTGTGTGTGGCCCTTCCAGGAACCTTTGGAGGGTGCTCTGTGGCTGAAATGGCAGCCCATGGAGGGGGAGGTGAGCCGGGCAGAGGTGCAGGCTGGCAGAGCGAGAGGGACCAGAAAACATTCCTTTGTGTGGCATCTCCTGGCACAGAGAACCTTGTGACAGAGCAGGCGGGCATCCTGCAGGCGAGACAGCTGCCACTGGGTCCTGAAGCTTCCCTGTTTCCTCCTTGCAAAACTGATATTCCAACTCCAGGGGCCCTTTGTGGAAGAGAGCAGGCAGCAGGCCGACCTGTTTACGACTGATAAGTGGTGTGCTGATGGCTCAGGGCCCCTGTCATCTTGTCATGGTGGGTTGCAGCCACTCTTGCCCCACCAGGCCCTGTCTTGTTTGAGAAACAGCTATCATGGGGCAAACTGATGGTTGTGGCATTTTTGCGGGGTCCAGAGGCCTGACCGGTAAGGCAGAGGTGTCCACTGGGCACTGCATCAAGCCTTCAGAAGATGCCCTTTTCTGCCTTGGCTCCAAGTTGCTGTGGGAAGTAGACATTTGAACCCAGAGCAGTCCTGCTTCACTAACCCCGTGGCTTTCCAGGACCGGAGGAGGCACTTAATGCTGCTAGGGATGGTTCCCCCAGTCCCAGAAGCTAGGCATCACCCTGCTGTTCCAGCTCAGCGCCTGTGTTCAGGGGACCCAGACCACCTATGTCCTGTCGCTGCAGGGACTCAGCTCCCCACCCGCTTGCCTTGCAGATCCGAGCCAGCAGGGGTAGCCCTGGACGCACCACTGCGCCCTTCCCTTACCCAGCCCTGCCGGCGGCCTGCAACACGGAACCAGCGCCGGCCCCCTCTGTGCCATGCCTGGCTCATCGCTGCAGGGCTTTTAGTCTCCCCAGACGCCAACCCAGGCCAAGTCCCACAGCCTCTGCTGAGCCAAGAACACTTGGACTGATCCTTGGTTTCCACTTTTCCCTGGATTGTTGTTTTTCTTTCTAAGTAGATATTGGCCTGTTTGCTTTGGGGGAAACATCTGGGGGACAGGGAAGGGAGACTTTAACCCTAGTGTGGGGGCAGGGAGGCAGGAGGAGCAGGCAACCTCGGCTCATGGGGCCCTGCCCAAAGGGGCTACTCCCGGGGCTGCTCGAAGAGCCATCTTGGGCTCAGCATTCCAGTGGCACGGCAGAGGGCCAAATACCAGGTGGGTCCTCCACCAGCCTCACCATCATCGCCTTCTCCCACCCCACCCTCAGAGTCAGGCCCTCATGCTTCTGGCGCAGCATTCAGGGAGACTTGGGAGCTCACGGGATTCCAAATGGGCCCAGGGAGGAGCACCTGGGCTTAGCTCTGAGCTGAGGACACCTGGCAATGAGTGGGCCAAGCCCCTCATGGCAGGCGGCAGCTGCCGCGCTGATGCAGGACACAGATGGGCAGAGCTGCTGCGGGTCCCGCTACGTTCCGGGGGGGCGCGAACTGGCGGGGCAGACCCTGTGCCGAGCCGCCTCCGCTGGGAGAAAGCAGGCACACAGAGGGCTCTGCATTGATCCTGGGAAAAAGGGAGGCTCAGCGAGCAGGCAACAGTTCCCTCCCAAGCCAGGACAGCCAAATCCCTTGTTTAAGCCCCCGAATAGAACGAGCTTAAACTAACTTGCAGAGTAAGCAGGCACTCGGGGCCCCTCTGCGTGCTCAGCAGGCTGGGAGGAAAGCACTCAGCCCGTGTCCCTCCAGTGCCGGGTCCCAGCAAAAGAAGGGAAAGCCCACGTTTAAATGAAGTTGCACCCCTGTGAGCCTCTGTGTTCCAGGTAGATGGTGGCTCTCCACCCTTGGGGCAGGGAACCCTGGCTGCCCCTCACCCCCCTCCCCGCAACCCTGTCTATCGTCTGTGGCTGGCACCACTCACCTAGGAACTCAGGTGTGGGGTTGGGGGGCAACCGCACATGCCGGGCAGCCCAGCAGCCTCCTGGGCCTGTCCTCGGCCCAGCCACCACCACTTCCTTCCTTTTCGGATGCCTCTTTCCTGACCTGCCCCTGGGCGCCTTCCTCAGAGCGGGTGGAACTCCCGGCTGCTGACAGCCAGCTGCTGTCTCAGCCTCAGCTTTTCTGTTGTTGGTCGTCCTGGAGATCCAAGTGTCAGGTTACATGGGGCGGTCACCAAGGGTGGGGGGGGGTGGGCAGTGCCACCGCCGCCCCAGCCCCGGCAAGGGAATCCCTGCTGGGGCCTTGGCCGCTGGCTTCAGACTCCTGTGCGCTGTGTTGCCCCCGGGAGGTCTGGCTGGGTGCGCTCAGCTCTTCTGTTCCTCCTCTTCCTCTACTATCCCTCTGGGCGGGTGTGTGCTAAGCCACTGTGGGCTGGGCCTGGGCCCAGAGCTGATAAAAGAGGAGGTCCCCTCTCTTGTTCCCTGGGAGGCTCCACCTGAGCCTTGGGGTGGCAGAGGGAGGCTGCACAGCACTCCCAGCTCATTGGCCCCCTCCCTACCCTCAGGAGGGCTCTGGGCCCATCCCCCCAACCTATCTCTCTGGAGACTCCTTGGCTGGTCCCGCCCTCTGGCCCCTCTGAAGAAAAAGAGTGAATAGTGGGGGAGCTGCCAGCCCACTCACAAGGCCAACCCCCTGGGGAGGCATCTTGGGGAAGAACTTGGGGTGACTCGAGAGTAACCTGAACGTGGCCTGCTTGCCCAGGGAAGTGCCTGGTGTTCCTCAGCCCCAGGAGGAGGGAGGACCCTACTGGTCTCAGTCTTTCCAAAGGGTGTTTGCTGGGGCTGTCCCTGAACGCCTGGCCCTGGCTGGCAGGGACGGGCTCCAGAGCTCAGTGGCTGGCAGGGCCCTTTGACATTTGGTTGGTTGTGCCACCCCAGCAGACCACTGTGTGCCCGGAGCAGAACAGGAGCCGACCCCAGCCCGCATCTGTGAGCTCTCAATGGAGCCCTTTGAGTGTGAGCACAAAACCCCAGTGAGTCCAGGCTTGAGGGAGGGTGGGGGGAAGGAAGCCAACCGCGTAGCCACACCACTTGGATGCCAGAGCCTCCCAGAGGCTGGACAGGCGGCCACTGTGCAGATGCACAGACTGGCGATGCAGAGTCCCATGGTGATTTAGGAGTGGCAGGAACAGTGCCCTCTGGTGGCTACCTGGGCCCCCTTGCCATCTCCGGCCGTTCAAAGCTGCATTCTCTAAACAAGGCAGCCAGACCCCACTTCCTAGGGCTTGTGTAACCATCAGCTGAGGGGCTCAGTTCCTGAGGGTGTTTCTTGCAGCTCCAGACAGTGCCCACATTGAGAGGCGTTCTGGTTAGAGAGTGATGCCACCTATGCTTGTCCCCGGCATGTGGTGCCTGGACAGCCCTCCCTCTGCCGCCCAGTCTTGCAGGCTCCCCTACCCCGTGCCACATTCCTGCGGCGAGACTGGCCCTTGGCAAGGGCCTTGAGAGATCTGTGGCCCCTTCGGGGGCCTCTTCAGCTGCCCCAAGGACCAACTGTGCCCCCATCCTAGGAGTCATAGGAGAGACAGCCGGAGTCTGGTACCGCCGCAAGGGGGCTGTGGCCGGGTTGAGGCACTGGGGGATGTGATGAGACTCCTGCCAGGGCTGGTCTCCTCGCTGCCCTCACCAGGGAGCAGCATACAATGCCGGCTCTCAGAGCTGCTGGTTTCTGCTCTTGGGCAGTCCCCCAGCTCCGGGCTGCGTACGCAGTCTTCTTGGGAACAAAGAAGGTCACCAAGACATAGAAGCAGGGCAGAGTGCTGATGCAGGGGTAGGGCCATGCTGTGCTGGTCCTCCCATCCCCCACCTCCGGGAAAGGGTGAAGAGTCAAAGAGGGCTCGCTGTGCACCGTGTGCCGTGCCTCAGAGCGCTATCTGCCCCAGGCCTGCACAGCCAGAGGAGCCAGCCCTCTTCCTGCACTGTTTGACAGGCAGGAACGTGTGGGCTTTGAGCCGTCTACTGCTTCCCCTAAGGATCTGTGCCCAGAGCGGCAGCTATTCCCAGGGTGCCCCACCGCCGGAGGGCAGAGGAGAGAGCAGGAGGCCAGGACCTAGAGGAGCAACCTGTAGTGAAGCAGGACAGAGTGGGGGTCACACCCTGGCTCCTCCAGATGTGTTGTATGACCTTGGGAAAGTTCCTTCAGCTCATTGTCGTCATCTGTAAAATGGGTGACCAAATGATGCCTTGTCGGGCTCGTACAGCAGGAGGCGTATAAGATACTGAGTGTGGTGTCCACGTGTAAAGCTCCTCGGCCAAAGTGTAGGGAGTGGGTGGATGAACGCTGGCCTGCCTGGGTTCCTCACCCCTCACCTCTGCTGTGCTGCCTCTGCCAGGTGCCGCCATGCTGCCATTGCCAAGTACTTTGGGGATGCGCCCCCTGCCTGCACCGAGGGCTGTGACCACTGCCGGGACCCTGTGGCCCTGCGGAAGCAGCTGGAGGCCTTGGAGCACAGAAGCAGCTGGAACAAGACTTGCATCGGGCCTTCCCAGGGGAATGGCTTTGACCCTGAGCTGTATGAGGGAGGCCGCCGGGGCTATGGGGGCTTCAGCAGGTGAGGGGCTGTGAAGTCAGTCAGGGGCCCCCAACCCACTGCAAATAGGCTGGCCTCCCCCTTGTGCCAAGGCGCCCCAGTGCCATCATTGACTCCCTGTCCCCGTGGGCCATATCGGAGCTAGGATCTTGGTGTTGCTCCTCCCTGCCAGGCTATCAGAGACATCAGTGCCCTACCAGAAAAGCATGACAGGAGGACAGAACCCAGGCCCAGGGCTGCTTACACCTAGCCTGTCCCCTAGGTATGACGAAGGTTCTGGAGGCAGTGGGGACGAGGGCAGAGACGAGGCCCACAAGCGGGAGTGGAATCTCTTCTACCAGAAACAGATGAGCCTACGCAAGGTGAAGGGGATGGGGGCCTGCTGGGGTCACAGGTGGCCCCCCATTCACACGCCCTCAGCTCCTACCCTGGAGCTGGCCAGGGGGGCTGTCCTACAGCTAAGTGAGATGCCTCATAGGCCCTTCATGTCATCTTCCAGGGCAAAGACCCCAAGATAGAAGAATTTGTGCCCCCAGGTTAGTACAGAAATGTCCCCAGGGGCTCTTGGGCTATTCCTAGGGTATAGATGTCTCATTGGGGGGCTGGGGACTCCAGAAAGCAGAGGTAGAGTGGACGGACCCACCCCTCTTCGCCCCCCCACCCCCCAGATGAGGACTGTCCCCTGAAAGAGGCTTCTAGCAGGAAGATCCCCAGACTCACTGTGAAGGTAAGTGGTGGACAACTCCTCACACCCGCCCCCCGGACTCCTTCCCCAACCCTGAGGCTTGAGTGACCAACTTCCCTCCCCTGTGTAGGCCCGTGAGCACTGCCTGGGGCTTCTGGAGGAGGCTCTGAGCAGTAACCGCCAGGCCACAGGTACCACCCATGGGTGAGTGACCCGGGTCACAGGGGCCAAAGAGGCTTCCCCAAGCCCCTGTTCCTTGTGGACCACAAGAACCCCCATCCCTTCTGGCTTATTTGGGCACCCCCAGATTGTGACCCACCCTTCTCCCAGTGGTTGCAGGTGTCACAGCCCCAGCAGGGGGCAGGCTCCGCCAGGACTGAGGGGCTGCCAGTGCCTGCAGGACAGTAAGCCCCCTGGATGCCTGGTGTCCGGGTCAGAATCCCTGTGCCCATGGCTGTTCCCACCAGGCTCTAAAGTCATCTCCAGGGTCCTCAGGGAGAATCCCATAGGAGCTCCACAGAGAGAGGGCTCCAGCCCGCCTGACGCCTCATGCTCATTCCTACCCTCAGACCTGATCTCCAGGCCAAGGCTGTGGAGCTGGAACATGAGATGTTCCGAAATGCCAAGGCAGCCAACCTGTACAAGGCCAGTGTGCTGAAGAAGGTAGGCATTGGGCAGGGCATGCTTCTGGGCTAGGGTGGGAGAGACAGCCCCTCCAGCCTCCCAGGCTGTCGGCCTTCCTGCTGCCAGGAGGCCGCTTACATGAGGGGAGCCTGACATCCCTTTGCCAGCTAGAGGTGTTTCCAGCCAACCCTGTCAGGACTGGAATTTGTCCAGTGTCCAGTTACCTGCAGCCAGGAGCCCCAGAAGCCCACTTGTGGAAAGCCTGGGTTGGGGCTCTCAGGAGCTAGTGGGTATCACGGCGTCCCTGCCTGTCCCTGAATCAGGTGGCTGAGATCCACAGAGCCTCTAAGGATGGGCAGCTCTACGATGTGGGGAGCGATACCAGGAGTTGCAGTGCACAGGCCCAGCCCCCAGAGCCCACCGAGTATGACATCCGGCCGGCCTCCCAGGTGTACTCGGTGAGCAGCGTCCTGGCATCCACCCCAAACCTGGGTCTGGGAAAGGCATCACATCCTTTGTCCTCAGCCAGGGCACGGCCGCTTGCCTTCTCCTGGTGTCGCAGCCCTGGCCCTAGGCGCCCCGCGGCAGACCCTCCAGCTTCCCTCTGCAGCCCCCACAGCTGTGCTCTGCTCAGCCTGACCACCCCGAGGTGTCCTGCTGGGTCTCTCCCTCCTCCACTCCCGAGAGCCCACCAGCTCAGCCATTCCTAGACCAGCCCATGAGTGCCCTCGGAACCCTTTCTGTTCTTCACAGCTCAAACCCAAGCGGGTAGGAGCTGGTTTCCCCAGAGGCTCCTGCTCATTCCAGACGGCCACTGAGCTGATGGAGAAGACGTGGGCTGAGGAGCAAGCCCCCCAGCCAGTGTGGGGAGGTGAGCAGGAGCCCCCCAGCCAGCCCCACAGCCTCCAGGGGGAGGACTGCAATGAGCCCCTCCTTGGGCCCAGAGGAGAGGCCCTTGGAAGCAGTGCTCATTGTGGGGGGTCCTCCCCTGAGAAGAAGGTGAAAAGCCCCTCCAAGGGCGGTGCCAAGGCCCGGGCCAGCAAGAAGCAGCAGCTCCTAGCCGCAGCGGCCCTCAAGGATTCACAGAACATCGCCCGCTTCTGCCAAAGGGCCAGGAGCCCATCTCCCCTCACCTTAGCCCCAGGGGCAGAAGGTGCTGGCCCTTCCTGTGAGGGAGTGCAGGGACCCCCAGCAGCCCCAGAGAAGTGCGCAAGGGAGGATGGAGCCCTGGGGTGTTTGGCTGCGCCCCCCCAGACCAAGGAGTGCACCAGGGAGAGGCCAAGGTAGGGGCCCTGATAGTTCTGAAATTCTCTGGAATCCTTTTTGCTAACTGGGTCTCTGAAGCTCTGGCCGTTCCTAGGGTGTGCTCTGCTGGGCCGGCTGAGCTGAGGGTGCAGCTGGTGGCTGGAGTTCTCATGCCTGCTCTCCCCTCTGGCCAGAGCCTGCACACTCAGAGACCAGGGGCCCCCTGAAGGCCAGCCCACCCCCACAAAGGAGACACACAGGGGCAAGCGGTCCAGACCCCAGCAGGTACTGACAGGGACAAGGCCACAGGGGAGGAGGCCTGCAGACCAGGCCGATACCTGTTCTGCTCTGGATGAGGGGTTTGGGGAAAATTGTCTTTTTACGTCCCAGGGATGGACGGGACAGGCTGGAGGGATCCAGCGGATGCTGAGGCCCAGTCTTCCAGAACGAGGGGAGGGGCCAGTGCAGGGAACCCAAGAGTGACTCTCCACTCTGGTCCTACACAGGAGAACCCAGAGAACCGGGCTCAGAAGAGGCCTCGCCCCTCAGCCAATGCCTCCATCATAGCTGAGGCCAAGGACAGCATCGCGGCCAGCAATCAGGGCACCTTGAACCCCACAGCCCAAGATTCCTGCCTTCTCCCAGCCCCTGGCATCTCCCTCAAGGAGGCTGCAAATGTTGTGGTCAAATGCCTGACCCCTTTCTATAAGGAGGGCAAGTTTGCATCCAAGGTAAGGTAGATGGGTAGATAGATAAGGTAGATCTACCCTCCCCTGGACCTGGGACACTTGGGCGCCATGGGAGCAGGGAGCAGAGCCAGAGGACAAAGCAGGGCAGAACAGGCTAGCCCTGAGGTTGACTTCCTCCCTCTCTGGGGTCTGCCTTGCCCCTGGGTCATGGCTGAAGGCCACTGGAGGAGGGGGCAGGGCAGGGGTCTGTGCTCTTTGCTCCTGTCACCCTCTGCCTCCAGGAATTATTTAAAGCCTTTGCCCGCCACCTCTCACACTCACTGGCTCAGAAGGCTTCTCCTGGAAGGAGCGGTAAGTGCCCACGTCACCAGGCCAGAGGTGTTTGCGGGGCTTGGTGGTGGGGAGGGGCCTGGCCCTCACGTTGCCCCTTCCCGAATCTGTAGTGAAGGAAGAGGCCCAGAATTTCATCAAGCAGTTTTTTCATGGTCGGGCCCGCTGCGAGAGTGAAGCTGACTGGCACGGCCTGTGTGAGCCACAAAGATGACCAGCTCCTGCCTGCTAGGGCCGGAGTGCTCCCCCAGCCTCAGCTGCGGGCCCGGGCCCTGCTCAGGAACGGGGAAGGTGGGGAGCCTGCGGCCATCAGGGCCATCCTCTTTGCTCAGGGGCCATACCTTCCAACCATACGTTGCTTTGGAGATGGCCCCAGTCGCCTCCCAAATCAAGGCCAAGGGCCAGAGGCCAGCCACTTTCTGCTTGCAGGGTCTCAGGTCTTCTTCCGCCTAGCCTCCCCACCTCTCTTGGTTGGGTTTTCCGAACCAGATTCCCAGATTAGAAGCTTGGGGCGGGGGGTGTGGCTGCTGCCAGGGGAACAGGAGGAAAGAATTGTAGGCCAGGGCAAGGCCACCTGTCCGAGGCATTGGACCGCCTCAGGAAGAGCCCTGCTGGCCTCGGGTTCTCGGCCCACCACCCCTTTCCCTTGCGTTGCCAGCTTCTGGCCTGGCCCCAGGTGCAGCTTGGGAGCCGGGCAGCAACCAGGCCCTGCTCTCTGCTCAGCTCCTGGTCAGGAAGGCTGGGCTGGACGGAGACTTAGCAGAGAAATAAAGTCCTGTTGGTTTTGACACCGCCCTCCCCCCCCACAAACACAGCCTTTTTCTCTTGGGAGTTTTATTTCCTCACTGTTTGCTTCCCCCAGGCCTGGATTCATGCTGATGTTGAGCCAGGGCCTGGGGCCAGCTGGGCATCCCTCTCCCCCAGCCTGGGCAGCATCAGATGCCCAAGCGAGTTCCTGCAGCCCCCACTCCAGGCCCCCCCAGGGGGAGTCCTGCTGCTTTCTTAGCTGATGTCACTGGAGCTGCTCCTGCCTCGTGGCCTCCACGCTGTGCTGTGGCAGGTTCCAGAACAGCCAAGTGGGGAAGTCCAAACCAAAATGGCCTGACAGCACCCAAGGGAGACCTTCCCCATCAGACTTGGACCTGGGAGGGGGCCCCTTCCTCATGTCCTCCCCTCCTCCATTCTTCTTGGGTGAGGCCGGCCACTAGTTGGGAGCAAGGCTGTCCCGCAGGAAGGCGATGGTGTACTTCAGCTCCTGGGCCTGCCCGGGGAACAGGCATGTGAGTACAGGGCTCCCCAGTGTGCCCCCCACTCTGTCCTGGCCCACACCACACCCGAGCCCCAGGCATGAGCATGGGTCTAGGCTCTGGGCATGCTAGGCCCGGGTCAGGCACTCCCCGCCTTGCCAGGGTGTCTGTCATCAGAGGCCCTGGCCACTCACCTTGAACAGCTCAAACCAGATGGTCTGGGGGTTGTCAGCAGAGCCATAGTTGAGTTCCAGGCCAGGGGGCCCCTTACTCTCCAGGGGGCTCAGCAGGTGGAGCCGGTGCAGGTCCTTCAGGGCGATGGAGCAGCACTGTTTCTGGGGCAGCAGAGACAGCAGAGCCTGGGGTCACCATGGGGGATGGGAGAATGGCGCAAGGGTGCTCAGACCAGTACTGGGGCAGGAGCCTGCCCACCTGGTTGCGGGGGTCCATGAGGATGATGTGCTGGCAGTTCAGTCCCAGGAGGCTGGGTCTGGGCAGGGCCAGTTGACTCACCCGCAGCACCACATAGACAGTGTAGCCAAAGAGGGGCAGCTGGCTCACAGCCTCTGGGAATGGAGGGGCCGGGATAGGTGTTCTGGCCATTCGGGCCCTGGGACCTGCCCAACTTGGCCCTCCGGTTGGATGAGCGGGGCAGGGCAGGTGGAGAAGCTTTCTCAGCCCCTCCACCCCCCTTCCCTTCTGGGCCTCTTGCCTTGGCCCTTGCAACTCCCAGGCCCCAGACCCACCGATGAAGCTGATCTGTGCTTCTTGGGAGCTGCAGACTTGCAGCTGCCTCAGCTCCTGGTCCATCAGGTTCTTTATGATGGGTATGTTCACTTTCGATTGCAGTGGCTTTGGCAAGTAAGCCAGCAGGTCTTGCCTAGGACACAGACTGGTCAGTCAAAGCTGGGTATACAGCAGGTGCTAAATAAATGAGCAGGGGCTACTGTGAGTGAGCCTGGGGATCCGAACTTAGGAATGAGGCCTGGGCCCTGCCTGTGACGAGCTTGGGGTGGGCAGGTCAGGTGTACATAGCCTCCACGACTCCAAGCCCATCAGGTTAAGGCCATGAAGGGTACAAGTTGAGTGGCTTTGACATTGGAATATTGGGTGGGGGATGCGGAGGCTGAAGGAGAGGCCCTTAGGGTATGTGCTGAGGCCAGCACCAGCAGGGACCAGGGGTGGCAGGAGGTGTGGGGCCATGTGCACACTCACTCCGACAGGTGGTCCTCTTGGGCCTTGCTCCGGTGCTGCAGGGCAGCCAGCCTGGCGAGTCGGGCGCTGGCCTGGGGGCTGACCAACAGCTTCCCCTGTAGGTAGTCCTGCAGCACCTGAGAGGGGACAGCAGTGAGGGGAGGGAGGCCTGGACATCCCCCACCCAGGCAGGGGTTCATTTGCAAGTTGCAGCCCAGGGTCAAGCCACCAGCTGGCTGGGGTTGGGGGATGGGGTCGGGGGGGTGAGGGGGCAGCACCTGCATGTAGTGGATGGTGATGTAGGTTGGATTATCGAAGTGCAGCGGGGTCTCCCAGCTGAGCCGCTGGCTGTGCAGGCTTACATCCTGATCCACCACGCTGTTGAGGTACTCGTGGGCCCACAGGGGCCGCACCAGCTTGCCTGCGTGGGGAGCCCAGGTCCACAGCCCGCCCTGACATCCAGGGCCAGCCTTGCCCGCAGTCCTGCCAGCCCCGGCCTGGGAACTTGCCTCACTCGCACACACACAACCGGTAGATAAGCCACCTCCTGGAACCCAGCCTGGCCCCCCCACTTCCGCCCCAGGCGAGGGGCTCACCTCCTCTTTTGATGAGGAAGAGGGCAAATTCCTGCACTTCCTGGGGGTCTGTGATGCCCATTTGCAGACATAGCTCCTCCAGCACTTCTGCCACCACCTGGGCCATGTCGACAGGGCCGTGTGTGATGGGGGGAGTGAGGCTCGGAACTGATGCCACAGCTTTCCTGTCTCCCCAGCCCCTCTTCCCTGGCCCCATGCTCACCGTGAAAGTCCGGATATTGGTTTTGTAATCCATACCCCCTGGCAGGTGAATTATAAGCGAGCGGATTCCTTGCCCTTTCTGCCAAGAAGGTTGTAGGGTCAGTCCACCAGTGGCCAGAGGCCCCAACTCCCTGTCCCCCACCAGGGAGTTCCATAATGTCCAGCCTCCTGTACCCGCCACCGCTGCCGCTGCCCCCCTCCAGTACCAGGAAAGCATGAGTTTCGCCCGGGGAGGGCAGTCGTGGGCGCCCCCCATATTTGACTGTGCGCTGGAGGTGTTCCTGACTGTTCCAGGCCAGTTCTGCAGAGGGGAAGCAGGCTGGGGTCACAAGCATCTCCAAACCCCTCCCCAAGCTGCTGAGACCCCAGCCTGGAAGGCCCTCTCCTAGGCACCTTGGCTTGGGCCTGAATCCTGCAGAAACTTTGTTACGTAGGGCATCAGCGTGGCTGACGGGGGGAAGAAGCCTGTCAGGAGGCTGAGGAAGCTCCAGCCGCGAGCACAGTGTTCCCTACAGGGCAGAGAGCCTGGGCTTCAGGCTGGCCAGACCATGCCCCAGCCTTGGGCCCGCCCTCTGCCACTGCCCCCCAGCCCTGCCTACTCACGGCTGAGGGTGTCTGGTGACCTGCTTGATGACTTGGCAGTAAATCTCATCCCTGAGGTTCTCCTTCTCCTGGCACAGCTGTGGGGGCGGAAGAGCAGAGGGCAGGGTGGCATCGGAGCTGAAGTCAGAGAAATCCTGCTAACAGCCAAGGCCGGGGCCACCTCTCGGTCTTGGACACAGCTTGTGTCTAAATCACTGTCTTCATCTGCTTATGGGCTCTGCTCAGCCCTGTCTTCTCTACTGGCTCCCCTTATTTCCTTGACCTCCAGGGCTGCAGTGCCCTTGGGCCTCAGTCTACATGCACTGTTGATCTCGGCTGTTCCTACCTGCTGATGACTGCCAGTGCTGGCCTCCAGCCCAGGCTTCTCCCTTGAACCCAGGCCCCCGGCTTGGAAGTCTGGACTTCATACCTCCTATGTTCAAAACAGATTCCTGCACCAACCCAGACCCGTTCCTCCCTTAGGCCCCCATATCGAAGATGGTCTTTACTCTGGCCAAGGCCTCCGTGACATCCTTGGCCCCTCTCTGTCACACCCCACGTATAATTCATAGCAAACCCTCTTGTTCTGAGTCTTCTCCCCTCTGCTGCTACCTCTGGGCCTGGCCCTCAGCATCCCTCACCTGTGATCATTGCAATAACCTCCTCTGGCACTTCTATCCCCCTGGGAGGGGTGGCACACAGCGCCCCCTGAAAATGTAAGCCAGTCTCTGCACACCCCCTCGAGTGAGTGCCCATCTCTCTTGAGAAATCAGAGTCCCAAGAGTAGTCCATGATGGCCTGCCGTCAGCTATACCTGCTGACTTCCCCAGCCTCATCCTCCACGCCGGCCACGCTGGCCTTGCTGGTGCTAAGGCTCACCCTCATCAGGACTGTTGCCCCTGCCCCTCTCTGCATGTGATACCCCCAGTGCACACATGCCTCTCTCCCCAGCTTCCCTCAGATCTCTGCTCCAGGGTCACCTTGCCCCCGAGCCTCTGCCTTAGAGCAGCCCCCTCCCTGCTGTATCATGCCCCACAGCACCTTTTACTCTTAGACACATTGCATCATGGTCAAATGTCTCCTCTCACTAGATTGTAAGTTTTGTGGGGACTGAGCCTGCTTGGTTCATGGCGGTGCCCCCAAAATACTTTTGGATGATTTGAATGACTAGTGACCGAGGGAAGGGGGAAGCCCCTCAGGCCCAGGCAGGAGGACAGGAACAGACCCTCAAGGCACACAGAATCCCACCCAAAGCTTTCAGCACACAAGCTCTTGCTTACCCTCAGGAGGTCATAAAGGAGCTCTATCTCATTCTTGCCCCGGGGCTTAGGCTGGTCCCCCATAAATTGCATCAGAGCTGCAGGCAGGATGAGAAGCATGGTCAGCTGGGTTGGGGGCCTGGTTTTGGCTCATGCTGTCGCCAGACAGGGCTTTCCCTGTCATCTCATGCCTTGCTCCGAAAAATGCACGTGAGCCAGGCAGAGCAGAGCAGTCTCCGCTTTACCGATGAGGAAACAGGGCTCAGAGAGGTTCCGTAGGCACCTGAGGCTGCTTATAGCACATAGCCATCTGGACATAGCACTGCCTTCCTGCCCAGACTCCACGCAACCCACCACCCCTTGGGAGTGTGTAGAAATAGGTGAGAACTATGGGGATTCAGTAACCATCAGTGACTGAGTTGACAAACAAGGACAGAAGGCGACCTGGCGCCTAGGTCCGAGGCACCACAGACATGGGGACCCAGGATGCTATGGTCACTCACCCTGGAAACTTTCCACAGCCTGCCTGTTTGTGTCCTCATCACTGAGGCTGTTGAGCGATTCTCGTATGGGAGCCTGTGGCCAAAGAGACTGGGTTGTGGGTCTGGAGTCCATGGGAGCCAAAGGGCAGGTCCACTGGCCCGACTCTTCCCCACCTGTCTCCCTCACCTTGCTGTACTGCACCAGGCTGGCCATGGCCTGCTCCTTAGCATCTCCACCGGTGTGGTCCAGCCTGAGGGGGCAGAAGGAAGGACAGCCCTGCTTGCTTGGCCCTCCCACCCCCATCACAGGTTGTGTAGGGAGGGTGCTAAGAGCACTGGCCTGGTGGCTCCGAGCAGGGAGGCCCACTTCAGGGAGGCCGAGGATGGGTGGGCAGAAGGGTGGGCCCAGGGCACTCACAAGGTCTGGGGCTTCCGGAAGTGGTACAGGGCAAATTCCTGCATGGTGTAGTGGCGGGAGTCCATGGACAGAGAGATGGAGGCTACAGAGTCATTGCTGTGTGCCTGGCTCCGGGGGTGGGTATGGCACTGGGAGCACAGGAGACCTCATGCCACCCGAGGGCCACCGGCCTGTCCGGAGGCCCTGCCCAGCCCCCCGCCCAGCCCGAGCCAAGAGGATCAGGCAGAGCAGCAGTGAGCACACCACCAGAAGCCAGGGAAGTCCAGAGGCCTTTATTGAGCATCTTCTAGGGCAGCACTTAACGAAGTGCTGCGAGGGGGCACAAAGGGCACACGGCCCAGCCCCTGCCCGCAGGGGGCTCACACTCTTGCTGGGGAGACAAGAAATCAGGAGAGGGCAGAGGGGCAGCATCAGACCAAGCGCTACCCGCCACGCAGCAGGTGGTTCTGGCCACGCAGCGGCAATCGAGCCCTTTCCGTCCTCGACTCCTAGTTAGGCTTCGCCTCCACCTTTCCCGTCTTCCTCACCTCTGCCCTCCTCCACTGAGCCAGCCCCGTCTCACTGTGCTGCAGCTGATTCTTGTGCCAGCCACTCCTCTCTGGCGAGAAGGAAAAGTCTGGGGCAGCAGCTGGCTGAACTATGTCGGCAGGGAAGAGTCCAGAATGGCCCCCAGTGGAGCCAAACTGCCAGCCTGGAAGGCATCCAAGGACAGCGTCTCACCCACCTGGCCTCTCTGCCCCTCCGAGGCTCTGCTATGTGCTGGCCCGCCCTGTGCCGGCTGCCCTGCTTGCCCCCAGGGATACCGGGCTCCAGCGTGGCCACTGGCAACAGCTTGATGAGGTCCCCACGGTGGAAGCTGAGGAGGCTGTGGTCATCGGTGATGTAGCTTCGCAGGGCGATGACGTAGCCGGAGTCCTGCAGGCAGGAGGGTGAACAGGCAAGGGAGCCAGCCTGCCTGTGACCCCAGTCCTTCCGGCCCCACCTGCTTCCCCTGTTGGCCTCACTCCCCACCCAGCAGTCCAGAGTTCCAGGAATCCGGCCTGAAGGCCTAGCCCCACCCCGGGCTGCTTGAAGGAGCTTGGCTGACAGCTCTGGGACCAGCCAGACCAGACACAGCACGGGTCGAGGTCCCCCTACCCTGCCCGGGTCCCCTAGCCCAGCTGCCCGCCAGCCCCCTGCCCAGCCTACACTTGCCTTCTTGAGCTCACTCAGGAACAGCTCAATCATGGCCTTGATGGCACTCGCCCGGGCCGTGTGCAACACCAGCTGCTCACTCTTCAGTGACAGCTCCAGGGTGGAGATGCCCGGGCACTCCACGCCCAGCACCTCAGCAAAGCTGTGCACAGGCGGAGGCATGAGCTAAGAGCCGGCTCGCCCCTGCCAGCCCCCAACCCCGGCCCAGCCCCCGGGCCAGGTTCACCTATATGAACACAGAGTCTTCAGCTGGTTCTTCGGGTGGAAGCTGGAGCCTTTGGTCACCTTGAGCAGTCTCAGTCCCCGGTGGGACACGCCCAGCAGCTGCACATCATTGCTGTCGCCCTGCCCGGAGGGAAGGTGGCTGGGTCACAAACAGGCTCCTGGTCCCCACCACCATCCAAGACGCCCCGGGGCTACTCAGGGCCCATGCTGCTCTTTGTCCTTCCGTTGGGGCCCACCCCAGCCCCGGCTCTCATCCCTGCCACAAAGGCCCATGCTGAGCGTGCTGGGATCCAGACTAGGGTGCTGGCGTCCCCAGCCCTACATCCAGCCTCACTGACCGAGACAGGGAAAATTCGGGAGAAATAATTGGCCCAGTTGTCCCTAGCGGCCACCACGATACGCTTCTTGACACTGTCCTCAGTGGTGTTGAGCGAGTCCAGACCCACCTCCAGGTCTCCTGTGGGCAGGAATGACCCCAGACTGTCCTCGGGCTCCCTCAAAGGGGGGACCCCAGAGTTTTCCCCCTCCTTCCAGACAGACCTAGTCCCATCACTTAGGCCCCTGATTCCCGGGTCCCTGGACCCTACCCAGCAGCTCTTTCATTTTGCTCCGCTCCTCCTGGGAGATCCGGATGCAGGACTTGGCAAAGGTGTCCCTCAGGATCTGGGGGCAGAGCCAAGAGGTCACCACCAGATCCCGGTGCCAGAGCCCACCACGGAAGCAGCCACACACGGAGGAAAAGCTGGAGAGCCTCATGGGCACGGGTGGAGGAGGGGCCTCTGAGCCCAGGGCCGCCCCCCCGGCCTCCCGCTCGCCTCCCTCAATCACCCGCACTAGCGGGTTACTGCTGCTCCGTCAGCTGAGATGAATTTCCTGAAGGAACAGAACATGGCGGGGGAGGAGGGGAGACTGATGGAATTTGGGGGAAGAGGCAGGGTTCTGGGAGCATCCAGGGGTGGCACAGGAACAAGCATCAGGGAGCATCTGCTGTGTGCCAGGGCCTGTGTTGGGGACCGTATACACTTTATTTTGAATCCTCACTGCAGGCCAATAATGGTCCTTACTCTCAGGGATGTGGTGAGGATGAAGTAAATGAAGGCAGGGCTTGAAACACAGCCCATGCCCTCTTAAGTGCTGGCTGCCTTCATGCGTCTTGCACTGGTGGTGACCTGGCCCAGGTGTGGGCGCAGTCCGTCTGCCCATGGCGCAGGTGGCCCGGGCTCTCACCTGCTCACAGAGGAGGCTGAGGCAGTAGGGGTGGCTGAAGTTCTCCCGGGGGTAGAACACCTGCAGGAGAGCAGGGGCGAGGAGAACAGATGGGAATGGCCCCCCCACCCCTACCTCCCAGCCCACCTCTGCCTCCCAGACCTGGAAGGAAAACCAGATCTGAGGAGGTAGGTCGTGGGGAGGCAGCCCCCAGTGTTTGTGAATGGGGAAATCCTGGGGTCCCAGCACAGCCTGCCACCCCTCCCCAGCCCAGAGAGAGGCCCGGCTGCGGCCCCGGCCTTGTGCCCACCTCCTTGCGTAGGAACAACCTCCAGGGTGGGTTGACGTAGGAGAAGCACACACTGCCGGAGGGCACGAGCAGCTGGGTGGAGACTCCCTGGTCCTCCATGGGCTCCATCCAGCCTGGCAGAGGGAGGGGCCAAAGAGCTTCAGGTGAGGAGCTGCCAGAGCCAGAATGAAGGGGACATGGAGACAAAAGACTGTGCCCTCCCTCGGGACCTGCGAGGGCTCAGCCTGCTCAACCTTTGCTGCCTCCCTCCTGCCCACATCCCGTCTCCGGCCTCCATTTCCAGCCCTCAGACTTTCCCTGCTGTCCCTGACCATGTCAGCAGGGACACTAAGTTCCTGATGGAGCTGCCAGGATGCACCGAGGACAATACCCCAAGACAGTCCCTCAGTGCCACAAGGGCCCCAGAGGTACCTGTGCCCTGCCCTGGATGGGAATGCGGAAGCTGGGGCTCCTCGCCCATGGCTCCAAAGTCCAGAGCCCTGAGTGCCTGAGCGGCTGACCTCACAGCCTTGAGCACTGAGAGGCTTCTGGGAACCTTGCCCTGCCCCAACGAAGCCCACCACAGAAGGACAGAAGGTTCCTTACCGCGGGGCCCAGGTGAAGGGGTCCCTGGTTCCTCAGGCAGAGGCAGCGGGGGCGCTGGTGGAGGTGAGGGTGCCTGGGCAGCAGGCGGAGTCTGGCTCTCCTTGATGGAGCTGGAGGGCCCAAGCTGTGGTGGGACCTTGGGTCGAGGGGCCACAGCTGGGGGGGGGCCCTTCCCTGGGCTGGGCGATGGCATCTGGAGAGGCACAAAGAATGTACACAGCTGGGTCTAGGGGTAAGGCCAAATTTACCCCAGAGAGCCTTGGACTCCTGAGGTGAGAAGCCATGTCCTGGACGGGATGGGGCCTCACCGACATGGATGTGTGGGCACCGCTGATCCCCAACTTAGCCAGAGCCTCATCCTTAGGGTTGTTTTTCTTCAGGAAACTTTTCGGGGGTTTCCTGAGAGAAGGAAGAGGTCCTAAGCCCACAGGGTGACTCCCTGGGGATTGGGCAGCCCTGGTCGCCCCGGAGGCCCACCTGGATGGCTGCACGGGCATGGGCACGGGGCCCGGGCGACTCTGGTACATGCGGATGATGTTGCGAATCTCCCTGCTTGGCTCTGCCCGCTGTTGGGGGGCTGGCTTAGGGTGACCACCAGGCCCCACCCCTGGGGCCGCTGGCTCAGCCTCAGCCTCTTGTGCAGCTTTGACTCTACCTTGTGTCAGTGGCTTCTTCACTATGGGGGGAGGTGGGGGGGATGGCACTGACCAGGAGAAGAGGAAACATGTGAGACCCTGCACAGACCCACAGGGCCAGGGCCCCCCTGCCCCCTGTGTCCCCACCACCTGCTCTTGGTTTCTCCTCCTGCTCCTGCTCCTGCTCTTGCTCCTGCTCCTGCTCCTGGGGGATCTGTACCTTGGGTGGAGGCTTCACTGTCTTCACTTTGATCTGCTGCTGCCCTGTAAGTGCCCCAGGTGACCCGATTATTCTCCATGGCATGCCCAGCAGGCTCCTGGACAGGCTGGCCACCCCAAGCACCCTCACCCATCTTTTGGAAATAGTCCTGTTTCTGCTGGAAGCTCCTGGGCCGCTGGGGCTTCTCTCGGGCCTCCTGTGAGGTCTCCTGTAGGCAGGAAGGGGAAGTGAAGGAGCAGCCCTGCCAGCCAAGTTGCCCCTCTCCCAGCACCGCCCCCCAGCCCCATCCTTGTGGGGTCTCCCCACCACACAGCCCTGCCACCTGCCTGGCCTCTGCTCCTCCCCCTCAGGCACCCACCGATTTCAGCTCTTGCTCTGGCTCCCCACGTGGGGCCAGGGGCTTCTTGGGCTTGGGGGCGACGGCTGGGGGTGAGCTCGGCGAGGCAGCTCCGGGGGCCCGGGCCAGAGGCTGAGCCTGGTGTTGGCGCTGCTGTGTCTGCTGCTCCAGCGACAAAGTCATGGCCTGGGCGGTCATCTGCTGGGCCTGGGGGCGGGGAGGGGCAGCGGGCCCGGTAAGAGCGGCTCCGGCTCTGCCCTGCAGACCTGGCCCCGCGAGGCCCTCTGAGGGCCCTGCCCACCCTCACCAGGATCAGCGCCTGCTGGTTGATGAAGTTCTGCTGCTGGGTCACCAGCTGCCTCGGGTCCACGCTGGGAAGCAGGGGCTGTGGCGGCGGCGGCACCACCATGGCTGCAAGTGGCATACAAGTGCCCAGCTGGCACGTGGTCCTCTGCCCACTGCGCCCTCCGGGCCCCAGGGAGGACCTCCCTTCCTCCAGTTCCTACCTGGGAAGGGAGCCGCCACCCGGCCTTACCTGGCATGGCAGGGACTGCGCCCATCGCTGGCATCATGGGCACGGGGGCAGGCATCATGGCTGGCTGGTATCCGGGCATCTGCATCATCCCTGGGTAAACTGAGGGGACAGGGCCCCCCCGGGGTTGATCCTTATCTGGGCCCACAGAGCCCCCCCTCCCTCCAGCCCCAGGCAACAAGAAGAGGATGGGCCCCCAAGGTGCTGGCTGGAGCTCTGACCCCAGTTGCCTGGGGGTCCCAGGCCGTGCTTGCCCAGGCTGCTGGGCTGGGGAGACCCTGGATGGATGCTCGGCCCTGCACTCACCCATGGGGTAGCTGCCTTGCTGCATGGGCCCAATGGCGCCCCCTCCCTTCATGCGGCTGCTCAGAGCCCAGCCTTGCTCCAGATCCTGTAGGGACAAAAGGGCACAGGCCACAGGGTCAGAACTGGAGCCCTGGGAGAGATGGGAGAGGCACTGGAGGCCCCGGTGGGGTAGGGGCAGGGATGGGGTCGGGTGTGTGTGCAGAACACTCACACTGTGGCCCGGGGAGAGGACTGGCTGGAAGAGGTGGTCCAGGAAGCCATCCAGGTTCTCTGAGGTCCGAGACTCCCCTGTGGGGCCAGAGGAGGGTGTCACCCTGGGGTGTGGGGCACCCTGCACCCCCATTCGCATTGCACTGCCAGCCTCACTGTGCCCATTCTGGCCTTACCTGACTGGCTCCTGCTGGGTAGTGCTGGGGCTGGCCCCGGGGGTGGACCTGGGGGCAATGAAGGGGCCTGGATGCCAGGGGCAGGGGGGATGTCCTCAGCTCTGCAGGAGACAATGGGCCCAGCTTAAGGGGGTGCCTTGGATAGGGGTGGTGTCCAGGCTAAGACAAGGAATAGAAGCTGCTGTGGGGGGTCATCCCCATGGGGTGGGAGATGAGGTATGTGTGGGGGGCTGCTGGGCCTGCAGCAGGTCCTGTGAACCCCGGGGTGTGATAGGGTGGCTAGGGGGGGTCACCTATGACAGAACAGAGACAGGAACAGGCTGGGACAGGGGTGCTGGGGTGGCACCTACAAGCCACGGGAGGCAATGGGGTAGCTGTGGGGACTGACTGGGTCCCCCAGGTCCTCAGTCCGGCCGATGAGGTCCAGCACAAAGTCACAGCCCACCAAATCCTGCCAGGAGTCCCCGGAGTGCAGTGACACAGACCAGCCACGCGGGGGCAGCTCCAGGCCTCTGGGAGGGACAGAGGGGCGCCATAGGGAGTGATCAGCCAGGAGGACGACCACCCCCAGGGTCCCCAAGGGGAGGCGGCTGAGGAAGGCAGAACCTGGGTGAGGAACTGGTTTCCTCAGACAGCTCTCCTTTATTCGCACCTCATGACCTTCTGCTTCCGCATCGGCTCTGATGCACTCATTTATTTATTGACCTGTTTCATTAGAATCTGGACCGTAGATACAACCTCTACTCTTGCTCCCTAGCTTGAACCTACTGTCTGGCTCCTGCCCGCTTACCCCTCCGTGCCTCGCCCCCCGCCAACGCCCTCGGGGAGCAGGCTTTGGCCCTGGGTTTTCAGGAGGCCCCCCCGACAGGAGAGTGGGCGGGGAGGATGAGGAAGGGACGGGGTCTGTGTTGGCTGCTCCCCATCCCTGTACCTGCTCTGCAGAATCCACCCGGCGAATTGCTCCCCCGTGGTCCAGGACTCCACCTCGGCTGAGTAGCATTCCCCTGTAGGGACAAGGGGTGGGGACCGGAGTGAGGGGCAGCAGGTCCTTCCTGACGGGAAGGGGCTGCTGTCCCCATGGGGGTTCCAGAAGCAGGACAGGACCCTGTGATCAGGGTCACGGGGGGGGGCAGCTAGAGGGCTGAGGCAGGAAGGGGGTCCAGGGAGGGTGAGGAGGCAGGGCTGGCCCCACTGTGGGCCTGGGGAGGCCTGAGCAGAAGGTGAGCATCACCAGTGAAGGTAAAGACGTCCAGAGCCATGCGGCCCTGCCGCCGTCCGGCGGTCCACTCGAGCTGGGTGGGGGGGTGGGCCCGGGCCATCTCAGGGGCCAGATGCGTCTGCTCCAGGGCCCCCAGCAGCTTGTGCTGACACAGCGCTGCCATGCCTCTGGGGGCCCGGTCGGACACAAATCTGCAGGGACAGCACAGGGCTGCTGTGGGGGTGGGCAGTCCACCAATCCCACTCACCGGGCCCCGCAAGGCAGGCCCCTTACTTCAGCAGTGGCTTCTGTAGGGTGGGCATGGGGGGAAAGGCGCTGAGCAGGATGGCCATGAGGGCCCAGCTGCACTGGCTCTGCTGCTCATCCGGGTTGTGCCAGATCTGGGCCACGAGCTGGCTGAAGAGCTCGTCCCGCAGCCCTGGCCGGCGCTGGCCCTGTCGCACCAGGTATTCGCCCATGCTCTGCTCCTGCCAGGGGGGCAGGGACCCATCCCCCAGGAGCCGCAGCAGCTGTAGACAGGGAGCAAGGCGAAGGCAGGACATGCAGGGCTCCCCTGGTGCTCAGCCAGCACCCAGGAGCCAGGGTCCCCCCCATCCCCTCCCCGATGCGTCACTCACCACTTTGTTGATATCCAGGGCATGCTGAGGGTTCTCACCATCCAGCCGGGTCAGGGGCTTGGCCAGCAGCTGCCCAGGGCTGGGCAGGGCTGGCTCCTGCAAGGGGGGGGGGGTGACAGTGCCTGAGCAGGTGCTGGTCTGTGCTGACCTGCTGGAAACAGCCCCGGCGGAGCCCACGGGAGCACGCGCCCTGGGAGACGGAGAGGGGCTGGCGAGGAAAACCACCTTAGAAATGCATCTCAGTGGCTCTTTCTGATTAGAAAATTGATGTCCATGCATGCAGAAAACTCAGAAAACATGGAAAAGGATAAAGAATAAAAAACCCATTACTATTTCCCTGCCAGTCATGACCACAGTGGACATTTTAGCTGCAGTCTTGCTTTTTTTTTTTTTCTCTCAAGATTTTTTCTATTTATTTGACAGAGAGAGAAAGAGAGCGCAAGCAGGGGGAGCAGCAGAGGGAGAGGGAGAAACAGACTGCCCGCTGAGCAGGGAGCCCGATGCGGGGCTTGATCCCAGGACCCCGGGATCATGACCTGAGCCAAAGGCAGAGGCTTCACCGCCTGAGCCTCCCAGACGCCCCTCCAGTCTCACTTTCTACGCAGAGATGATACCTACATTGCCCTCCCACACCTATTGTTGTTTTTAACAAAACTGGGATCCTACTCTATGTCCAGTTTGGAATCCTGCTTTTGTATCCAACAGTGCAGGCTGGACGTTTGCCTTATTGTTACACACATGCTAATGACATGACTTCAACGGCAGGACGATGCCGCAGGGGTAACAAAGTTGTGGCATCACGGGTCTAAGTTCCTCTCGAGAGTGAGACGTTTGGCTTCAGGGGATATTCTCCAAGCAGTGTGGCTGCACCCATCACCCCCGTGATAGGAGAAGTTGGGTGGAGTGGGAAGAAGGAACAGGCCTAGCTTCTGCCTGGCAGGGCTAAAATCTGGGGAGCCATGGAGGTCCGCCAGGGAGAGCCGAGGTCTGGGGGCCCACCTGAAAGTTAGTGGAGATGAAGCTGGAGAACGGGAACTGGTCGATATCTGGTGGAAGGGTCAGGCTGGTCCGGGCAGGAACTTCAGGGGGCATGGACTCAGTGATGCTCCCAACCAAGGTATGGTGATGGCCTGGGGAACGTGCCAAGAGGCAGCCCAGAAAGGCTGAGGTAAGGCAGCTGGCTGTGGACCGCCTCTACCCCTCATCACCCGCCCCCAGCCCTGGGGCAGAGAGAGCCCGGGGGAGCCCAGAGCATCATAGGGAGGGACCGCGGGGACAGACTGATTGCACAGCAGAGAGACTGCAGGAGCGAGGGATCGTGGTAAGAGGGACACCAACCAGAACCCACCTTCCGCTGTCTTTAACATGACGGCCACCTCAGCCGGGATCTCCAAACGCCCCAGCTCCTGGCAGAGAGGAGCGATCGATAAAGTACTAAAGGAGGGGTACAGGGACCCAGTGTCCCTCCTCACCCCCAGGACCATAAACTTCTCCAAAGACCAAGGATTCTGATCCTGGACACAAATAGGACCCCAAGAGCCCTCAGAGGGAGACCGAGGGTGGCCCAGGCCTCGTCTTGGGGGGCCCAAGGGATGCACACCCAGGACCCCACACTCGTCCGCAAGCCATGCCAGTTTCAGGAGGCTCATAACCCAGTGGACACCCTCGAGCTTCCAGGCCACCTACCATGCTTGGCACTGTCTTGGAGGCTGGGCCACTGTGCCAGTCACACCGATGCCCAACCTGCTGAGGGAGATGCGAGAGGAGCTGGTGCCCCGGTGAGGGGTCTCCGTGAACCTCCTGGCAGATCCTCCCCACCTCAGCAGTTCAGCTGCCCCCTCCGGCCCCCAGTGGAGAAATCAGCCCAGACCCAGAGGGGCCGGCTGCCTGCCGCCTGCCCTCTGGAGCCCTCACTGGCCGCTGCTGCCCGTCTGCTGGGGCACTGGGGAGGAGGTAGGAAGAAATGGTGCCAGGGGACAAAGTCCAGCCAGGGAGGGGCCACAGAGAGGAGCAGTATGTGGGCGCTGACCTTTGAGCGGCTTTATGGCCCCCACATTGGAGTCATCAGGCAAAAAAGGGAAGCAGGTCGGCCTTGAGGAAGGTCTGGAGAGGACGGGACGGCACCCCAGGCAGGCAGGGGAGACTGAGACCCTGGAGCGTGGGCAGGGATGAAGGAAGTGACCTCCCGGAGGTCCCAGCCTGCCCTGGCCAGGCAGTGGGAAATGGGAAGAGCTGGGCCGGCCGTGGTCTCCGAGCCCTCGATCCTCGTGTACTTGGGCCAGGAGTGGACTTGGCTGCGGTCCGGCCAACTTGGCCAGCAAGGCTGCCTGACTCCTCTGCCCTGAGCAGCAGCCTCGCCCAGATACCTGCAATCTCTGTTGCCTCCGGAGCAGGGGCCGGGCCACCAGCAGGACGCTGTTCAGCTGTCCCAGAGCTGCCCGCCGCCGTTGGTTCCGCTTCCTGGAGGCCGGGAAGGGGGTTGGGGAGGAGTTCAAGCTTAGACCCGGTACCCGAACCCTCCAAGCCGAGACATGAAGGTAGACACGGACCCCAGGCTGACGACCCCTAGGTGCTTAACAGAAGCCACAGGGAATGGACAGGACAGCTTGAAAGAACAAGTACATTGAGAAGGTGTTCGGTACTGGGGATTACGGTCTCAGGTGGCAGAGCCGACCGCCGGGCTCATTTCCCACCCAGTCGGGCAGTGTGGTCATGGGTAAGTCCCTTCCTCTTGGTTTTATTGTCCTCATCTGCAAAGTGAGGATCCGTGTAATCCCTGCCCCGCCACAAGATGAAGGCAATCAACTGACATGTTGAGAAGTGTCTGGCGTATTTTTATTTAAGAAGCAAAACTTCTAAAAATGAAAAAAATGTTATCACTGGAAATCTAATAAGAGATCACAGAAGAGATCATGTCTTTGAAAACTGTCCAGATATAAGAAAGACGAGACTCCTCAGGGAAGGGGTCCTGAGCAGGATTAAAATTAAAAAATAAGTGTATAGCTTTGAGGTGGCCGGCTGGCTCCGTTGGTAGAGCATCTCGGGGTCGTGAGTTCAAGCCCCAAGTTGGGGGTAGAGTTTACTTAAAAAAAAATAAATGTACAGCTTTTGTGCAAAAGGACACCATCAAGAGTGTCAAAAGACAACCCATGGAATGGGAGAACATTTGCAAATTACGTATTTGATAAGAGTTTGATATCCAAGATGTATAAAGAACTTCCACAACTCAACAATAAGACAAACTATACAAACAAAAGGCAGACTGAGGACTTGACATCTCTCCCAAGAAGCTACACAACTGGCCAAGAAACATGTGAGAAGATGCTCAACCTCGTTAGTCATTAGAGAAATGCAAATCAAAGCCACAATGAGGTACTGCTTCGTGCCCACTAGGATGGCTATCATTTAAAAAGTGGAAAATAAGGGCGCCGGGGTGGCTCAGTGGGTTAAGCATCTGCCTTCAGCTCAGGTCATGATCCCAGGGTCCTGGGATCGAGCCCCGCATCGGGCTCCCTGCTCGGCGGGAAGCCTGCTTCTCCCTCTCCCACTCCCCCTGCTTGTGTGCGCACACACTCTCTCTCAAATGAAGAAATCTTTTTTTTTTTTTTTAAGTGGAAAATAAGTACCAGCAATGCTGTAGAGAAATTGGAAAACTGACATGTGCTGGTGGGAGTGTAACTCCTCAAAAAACCAAACACAGAATTACCATATGACCCAGCGACTCCACTCCTAGGTAAAGACCTGAAAGAACTGGAAGCAGAGAATTGAACAGACATACTGGCACACTCATGTCCCCAGCAGCCTTATTCACAAGCACCAGAAAGTGGAAACAGGGGCGCCTGGGTGGCTCAGTTGGTTAAGCGACTGCCTTCGGCTCAGGTCATGATCCTGGAGTCCCGGGATCGAGTCCCGCATCGGGCTCCCTGCTCAGCAGGGAGTCTGCTTCTCCCTCTGACCCTCCCCCCTCTCATGTGCTCGCTCTCTCTCTCTCACTGTCTCTCAAATAAATAAATAAAATCTTTAAAAAAAAAAAAAGAAAGTGGAAACAGTCCAAATGACCGCTGACGGATGAGTGGAGACACAGGTTGTGGTCCGTGCACCCAGGGGCAAAGAGAAGTGAAGTCTTGCCACCTTTTACTATATGGATGGACCTCGTGAACGTTCCACTTAGCGCAGCGAGCCAGATGTAAAAGGAAATATTGTACGAGCCAATTTACATGGAATACCTGGAATAGGCAAATTCGTAGGGACAGACAGTGGACGAGAGGTTCCTGGGGGCTGGAGGAAAGGCGAGCAGGGAATGATTTGCGTGAGGGATCCAGTGTTTCTGCTGGTGATGACATTTTGGAAATAGAGCATGGTGATGAGTGCCCTGTCTCAGAAGGCTCCCCTGGGGTCCATGGCACTGTCCTTACTTTGTTCTTAGCCCTTTACCACCCCCTTGGGGGTGACTGGTGGCTGGTTTACTGTCTGCACCTGACTCCCCAGTGCACCTGGGAGGCACCACCTCTGCCTCCATCCCGGCGTCACCAGCGCTGGGCCCAGGGTAATGGAGAAGGTCAAGCCCACAGCTATTGGGTGAAGGAGCACAGACATTCCCACCAAGCTGTGAAGGTGAACGGGCATTAATTACATGAGAAGGGGAAGGAAGTGCTATAGGACCAAGAAGTCCAAAGAGCCTGGACTATAAAAATCTGGCCTGGAGGCTGGAGAGATGGGCAGGGCCTCACACAGCCTGATAAAAGATTACTCTTGGGGCAGAGTGGACAGACTAGAAAACACTCAGGTTCAGGTGGCCTGAGCAGAGAGTGAGCTTCTTGTCACTCAGGGTGTTCAAGCAGAGGTTGCATGGGGATGCTGACAGGATGACCCCCGGGGCAGGTAGATTTCCTTGAGGCCCCACCCTTCCCACACCCTGCCCCAGCACCTGGAGGAGGCCCCTAGTCTCATGCCACCCCCTGCAGACCTGGCCTGGAGCCCTCGCACGTGCGCCTGCATCCGTGGCAGGAGTAGACCGCCGAGGCGCTGGCGGGAGATGCAGGCGTGCAGGCTGACGTGCAGGCTGAGCAGGGCCTGGGAGCGTCGCCGGGCCCAGTGCTTCTCCAGCTGCTGCCAGCCCGGCTCCCGCAGCAGGACCTGGGGGCAGAGGTGAGGGTGCCCGTGCTGGGGGTGCCGAGGCCCACCCTGCTCTTCTCCTCAGGCCTCAGCCTCCTCCCTTCTGGCAGGATAACCGATTCTTGTGGGGGGCCCGGGACACCTGCCTCCCAGGCCCACTTCATCGCTTCCCCACCCAGAAGGAACCCCCCCCCATTCCTGAGTTTGTCCCGGAATGCTCCTCTCCCTTCCCAGCCACACCTGCCTCTCCACACACACACACACACACACACACACACACACCTGGGTAGCCCCGAGGTGGCAGAGGGGTGACTCGGCCCCCAGAACCTTACTCAGGATGGCACCACACCTCTTGCGGTCAGAGGTCTCTCCCCGCGCCTCTGTGTCCAGGGCCCAGAACCTACCCCGGGGAGGAAGAAGCTGAGGTGTCAGAACAAGCACAGAGAGAACCTCCCTCCACGCCTGTTTGCTCCCCCCCCCGCCCCTAAGTCATTCAACAACGACTTGCAGCGCACCTACTATGTGCCTGGCACCCAGCAGAGTTTTGCTGAGTGGCGGAGGGGCAGGTAGAGGCGTGGGGGGGGGGCACGGATAGTGAATAGGGAAGGAGAGGGACGGAGGGAGAGGAGAGAGAGCAGGGAAAGGAGGCGGGCTGGGGGCCAGGCCTAGGGTCCCAAGGAAAGTGGGTCCACCTCCGCCCTGAGGAACCCTGGGTCTGCCAGCCACTCTGGGGGGCTGTCCTTGTGGGTCCCGGCCCGAGGTGCCCGGGCCCTCGGCTGCCTCCAACCTGGGACACTACCTGGCCAGGAAGGCCTGGAAGGGCAGGCGCACAGGGAAGTTGGCACTGCGGGTACACACTGCCTCCAGGATGTCAGCCTGGCGCAGCTGCTCGGCCACGTGTCCCACATCAAAGACGCCCGGAAGCTGTGGCCACCAAACAGAGCCAGTGAGAGCTGGAGTTGGGGGGGTGCTGCTGAGCAGGGCAGGGCAGGTGGATGGGAAGGCTCCAGGGCCAGGTGTGGTGGGTGGGGGGTGGGGGGGAGCTCACCTTTCCTGGGTTGGGGTTGAGGCACTGAATGAAATAGACATGGCTCCTGATGGGAGGAAGGGGGGTCATGTGGGCGCAGAGCAGCCCCCGAGGCCCTGGGGTCTCCTATGCGGGGGGGGGGGGGCACTGTTCTCACCTGCCCAGCCGGGCTAGGAGGTCCTCCAGGGAATGCTGGAAGCGAGAGGCCAGGGTGGGTTTGCCTGGCCCAGCCCTGGACTGGGACTCTGCTTCCTGGAACAGGCTGCCCAGAAGCTGTGGGGCAAGAGGAGGCTGAGCTGGCTCGCTTCCCAGGCCTGTCCATAGCCCGTCCCCGGGGAGCCAGGGTGGGCCAGGCCACAGCATCCAGACCCCGGAAGGCTCAGCCCATGGTCCAAGGGGCAGGGGGACACAGTGTGGAGGGGTGGGGGTGCACCTGGAGCCGGCTCTGGGCAAGCATTTCCACCACGGCAGGGTCAAGATGATCCCGGTTTCTGTTTATAAATTTGTGAACCTGCAAGAGGCAATGTGGGGAATAGAGGGGGGGCCAAAGAGAGAAGACTGGGGTGGAGCCTGGTCCCTTTGTCACATAATCCCGCCTCTCCCCACTGGGCTAAATAAAGGGCCACCTTTGTCTCTTCAACTAATGGCTCTGGGAAAACTGGAAATCCCCCCCCCCATGCAAATGAATGAAGCTGGACTCTTATCTTATATCAGATATAAAGATTAACCCAAAATGAAGGGATCAAAGACCTAAATTTAAGGCCTGGAACTCTAAAACTCTTAGAAGAAAACGTAGGAATAAAGCTTCATGACAGTGGACTTGGCAATGATTTCCTGAATAGGACACCAAAAGCATAGGCAACAGAAGAAAAATTAAACTGGATTTCATCAAAATTAAAACTTTCGTGGGGCGCCTGGCTGGCTCAGGAACACATGCGACTCTTGATCGTAGGGTCGTGAGTTCCAGCCTCACGTTGGGAGTAGAGATTACTTAAAAAAAAAAAAAAAAAAGTTTTCTTGGGGCGCCTGGGTGACTTAGTCTGTTAAGCGTCTGCCTTTGGCTCAGGTCATGATCTCGGGGTCCTGGGATCGAGCCCTGCATTGGGCCCCCTACTCAGTGGGAAGCCTGTTTCTCTCCCTCTCCCTCTCTCTGTCCCTCCCCCCAGCTCATGCTCTCTCTCAAATAAATAAATAAAATCTTTAAAAAAAAGTTTTCTTTTGTGAGCTTCAAGATAGTTTTGTGGTTTTCTTTATTCAATCTCCTTGTGTGTGTGGTTTTTTTTAGATGTGATTGGGGTTTTTCTGGGGGGCGGGGAACAGAGGTATAACTGATAAACCTTAGGTTTCTTCTTTGGGTAACTTCTGGGTGGTCTGTGTTTTCTTCTACAACCAAAACAGCTCACCTCCTCCAGGAAGCCTTACTGAACTTGGCCTACCTCAAACTAAGCATGTGGTCCTACCCTACACACCAGGCCCCCTCCCCTCAGCAGTTCTCCCTGGTAGGTGTGCTATCACCGTGAAACTCAGAAGGAGGAAAGGTGAGTCCCTTCAATGAGCACCTTTACGGGCCAGGCGCCTGCCTGACCACTTCCCCATTACTACATTTAATCCTCACAACAGTGCTACGGGACTCCCATTCCCATTTTACAGGCAGGAAAATGTAGGCTCAGGAGGAGAAGCAGACAGCCAGAGGTTATCAGAGCCAGGTTTGCACATCCCACACATATGTTCCTCCCCTCCTGGCCTTAAGGCTCCCAGTCTCATCTCCCTCTACCCCACGGGGCTCAGCCAGAACTCACTAAGTCACGCTAGGAACTGGGTAGGGCCAAGGGCATAGGCAGAAACATATGGTCAAGCCCTGGGAGGGGCCTCCCCTCACCTACTCCTCTTAGCTGTCAGGTGAGTCAGCTCTGGGGAGGGGACACCCGGGCCACATCACCCTCACTGATTCACCCAGGAGTCTGTCCCTGATTTACCCCAATACCTGGTAGGTGACAGGCCCAGCGTAATGCCTCACGGTGAAGATAGGAAGGGGCAGCTGCGGCTTGGCGTAGCAGGGGTGATTGCCGTGGTGATAGTGACACTTCTGGAGGAAGGTGTGGTCTGTGGCCTGATAAGAGGGATGAGCTTCCCTCAGGCCTTTGCACAAGATGTGCCCCTGCCCGGACCACGCATCCCTCCAGGGTCATCAATGAGTATTTGTGGAACGGGAGGACCAGGGCCCCGAGGCTTGCTCCCTACTAGTTGGAGGCCCGAGGGACCACCACAAGCCCTGCATGAGCCCTGCGCAGTGCCCACCACCCTGCCCCTTCCGCAGCAAGGACTTGAGGAACCCCAGAGAGGTCAGGATCACCCAGAGACAGGATTTGAACCCAAGCTGTGCTGAGAAGCTATGCGCAGGGTTTCCGGCCCCCATCACCTGTGGCTGCTCTCGGAGGCCCTGCTGGCCCCTGGCGTGGCCACCAGGGCCCCCACTGCTTGGGGCTCACCTGGGACAGCCATGTCTGGGCATCCAGGATACTCAGGAGGCTGTGGGGCTGGTCTATGAGGAGGTCCAGACAGGTGTCCCGCACAGGCTGGGGAACAGGCACCCAGGGCAGCAGCTCTCGGCGACAGGCCTCCTGGGAACAGCAGCACGGGGCCAGTTCCAGAGCACGCCCCGCGTTCGTGGGGGAGCTCACTGGACCCAGAGCAGGGACGGCCCTCCCATTGTCCAGATGAGTAAGATGAGGCCCAGAAGGGCCGAGATGGCCCATAGTGGGGCGGGGCGGGACGAGGGGCTTTGGGGCCGAGCGGCTTTGGGGCCGAGCTCTCAGTTCAGCGCCCTCTGTTTCCCAGGGATGGCCCCTGCTCGGGAAGGCCTGGGTGCCACCGGCCATCGCCAGGCCCAGCGCCTCTCACCTGCTCCTGGGCCCGCAGCATCTGGCTGGAGAAGAGCTGCAGACGCTCGCTGGCGAGGTTACTGCACAGTTGTTCCAGGCCGTTCACCCGCAGGGCCTGGGGGCACCGGGGCAGCAAGGACGTGGGCACCCACATGTGTCGGGGGCACGGGGCGGGGGCGGGGGGTTGCTGCACATTGCCCTCCCAGAACTCAGGGAGGAGTGGTGCCCTAGGGCTGATGCTGCAGCCCACAGGGTCAAGTCCAAAGGCCTCAGCCCACACCCCTCTCCCTCTGCCTCAGAACGACTGTGAGCCTTCAGGCCACGGGTCACAGCCATCCTGGGGTCTGGAAAGCGCCTCTTCTTATGACCCAGTAGCTTGCTGGCTATCGGAATCCCACATCCTCAGAAGCAGGGCTCCAGGCCGCTGCCTCTGAGAAGCCCTCCAGCATTTTCCTGTAGGGATTACAGGTTCCTTCCTCTGCGTCCCCCAGCATGTTACTCACAAGCCCAGCAGAGCCCGCACTCCATGCGGCTTTGTACAGAGAGCTTTGACGTGCTCTAAAGCACACCCACAGAGTGCACGTGCGCACGCACACACATACTTGCCACGTCATCCCCTCCCTGCTCAGAGAGGATATAGTCACCAGGGGCAGGCTGGGGAGGAGAGAGCAGGGGACAGTGAACAGGGCCCATCCGGGAACAAGGGGGGAGGCCACCTTCTCTTGCTCAGGCCCCCTCCTCCCTTCCCTGAGGAGGTGGGATCTTCTAGAAAGGGGTTGAAGAGCTTATGAAAACTCAGGGCCATTCAGGGGACTGTCCCCTTTCCTGTTCCTCTTGGGGCATGGGAGGGGAGGCTGTGGGCTGATCTAGCCTAGGGCCTCTGTCTTCCGCTGCCTTAGAGGCTTCTGTGAGGCTCTGTAAGGTCAAGCAGGACAGAACTCTCCAGAGGCGATGTCAGGGCTGGACAGAGCGGGGCAGAAAGGCTACCCCTGCGGAGTGTGCGCTGTCTCAGGGCTAGGCAGGCAAGCGCTCACGAGCGCCCCCCTCAGGCAGCGCTGACCCCAGACATGATCAGGGTGAGGTGGGCCACCCGTCCCAGGCCCTGCCCTATGGGGCGACCTCAAAGCCGTAGACGTCCACGACAGTGACGGTGTCCACGCTCTCTCCCTCCCCGGGAGCTGCCAGCTTCGCATTGCTCCTTGTCAGAAGCCAGGTGAAAAGCCGGGAATACAGGGCCTTGGCCAGGGCGTCCCTGTGGGCAGGGTGAGTGAGCCTGTGCCGTAGAGTGCCAGGCCCGGCCGCGGCTCCCTCCTGCCCCCAGGGCCACCTGGCATCAATGGCGCTTTCCACCGGCAGAGACCTGCAGACCCAGCCATACGGTGTCTCCTGGGGGGCGGAGAGGAGGTAGGTGCGCGTGGAACAACAGGCCCGAGGCCCATGTGGGTGGCCCCGCCCCCTGAGGAGCCCAGCACTCACCGTGACCCTCCTGGTGACAGCCCCCTGTAGGCGCTCAGGTGGCACCAGCAGCAGCCGGGCTGCCGTGTGGATCTCAGCCCAGCTGGACACGGCAGCCACCTCCCGGGACTCCCGCTGGACAGAGAAGGGAGGGGGCGGGGAGATCTCTGCTGGGGATCGGCCACATCCCAAAGCAGGGTGCAGAGGAGGCAGGGCCTCGCTGCCCCGGGGAGCTGCCCTGTTGCCCCAAGTTCGATCTCGGTGGGTGGGAGCCGACTCTGCAGCCCGGGGGCCCTGAGTTCGAGTCCTAATTATCTCTTCACTAGCTGGCCGCCTCTGGCAACAGTCTTTCCCTCTCTGAGCCCCCACTGTCTCATTGATTTTTAAGCAGGCTCCATGCCCAGCGTGGAGCCCAATGCAGGGCTTGAGCTCATGACCCTGAGATCAAGACCTGAGCTGAGATCAAGAGTCAGACAGTTAACTGACTGAGCTGCCCTGGCGCCCCTCCACTGTCTCGTTGTTAAAGGGGAAACAACAACCCTAAAGTTAGTTGTGGTGAGGACGGAATTAGGAAACATACAGAAAGTGATTCACACAGTGCCAGGGACATAATAGCTGCTCACTTAGTGCAGGTCTCCCCTGTAGGGGTGGTAGCTTAGCGGAACCCGCGCTGGCATAGATGATCCAGGCCTGTTTTCTCACCTATATGACAAGAATCTGCCTGCTCTCCAGGGCCGCTGTGAGGCCCTGGGGTAGCCCAGGGCTTGGTAATCTACCTACAAGTGTTTGGTATCTTTGCCGCCCTGATTACGCAAACAAGCCACTGCTGATCCAGCGTCCACACCGGCCACAGCAGGGGCCCACCTCGGAAGAAGAGAAGCAAATGTTGCCCAGGTGCAGGATGGCGGCCAGCACAGCCCAGGCGGCGGTCACCTCCTCGGGGCCCATGACCTGCAGGGCCTTCCGCAGTCCTTCGAAGTCCCGGGCATCATCCTTGCCCTGGAGACTGCAGGCCTGGCCCTGCAGAGAACAACAGGGGTGAGGGGGCAGGGCCCGGCCACCCAGAGCTCCCCTCTACTCTGGCCACTCCTCAGACCCCCGTGCCAAGACCTTTCCCTGGGCAAGCCCTGGCACCCGGCGCCGAGCAGGCCTTCCTTCCCCCACCTGGTTGAGGTAGTAGTAGGTCTCTGGTCCCTGTAAGGAGAGCCGCTCCCGTTCCGCAGGGTCTAGCCCCGCCAGCAACTCGTAAAAAACATGGAAGCTCCGCTCAGCCTGGGCCTTGGGGGAGAAGGACTGGCTCAGGGGGAGCAGGGTCTGGTCCTGTGCCTCAGGGGAGCAAGGACAAGGCCTGGGAAAGGCAGGGATGGGGGGCTTAGCGACCACAACCCCCTACAGTGGTCCCTCCCCCTTTCCCATTCTGGGAGCTAGAGAGAGGGGAGCCTCGGTGCGGGGGGGGAGGTCTTACCTGAAACACCACCCTTGAGGTCTCAAGCAGATAATGTGACACAGAGGCTCCCACGATGACCCCGCTGTGGGCACAGGAAAGTGGGTGGGGGTGCCTGCAACCTAGGGGCGCTGCTCAGAATGGGACACACTAGGGGCTGGACCCAAGGGCAGCAGCCTCGGGTTCCCAGTAAAGGGAACTGATCATGAGTGTCCCCTGTGCCCGTCAGGACCCCCGTCACTCACTGCTGCAGGTGGAGGCAGAAGACCTGGCCGAAGCGGCTGGCGTTGGCATTGAGGACTGTCTTGGCGTGGCCAAAGCTGCTGAGTATGAGCAGCACACCATCCAGCTGTTTGGGGGAGGAGCATTCAAGTACCCCTGGGATGGTGGTGGAATCCACTGATCAGCCATCCCAGCTGAGGACACGCTGTGCCTGGGGGTTGTGCTCTTCCACGGAGAGGGGCAGTCCCACCCCACCTCACCCTGCCCCACGGCAGGCAAGGCCTGGGGCTGCCCCCAGGAGAAGCCAGACGCCTGGAGACCACCCTCCGGGCCGAAAGGAGAAGAATGGTCCCTCTTGGATCCCCGGGAAAAGGCCAGCGGCTCCTCACTTGACATCTTCGGTCCCTTGCGTGTTCCTGCTCCAGGCTGCTTAGGAACTGCACGATCTTTTGGGCAGCTTCTGTCTTCCCTGAGCCACTGTGCCCACTGCAGGAGGGAGGGGCTGACAGGGTCTCCAGGAAGGGGCACATAGGACACCCCACAGAGCCCAGGAAGTGGGGTATGCCCGCCTGGAAGTGATACCCACCCCCTGCACCCCAGAAACATGGAGAGATAGACCCAGGGCATGGAGACCAAAGAGAAAGAAGTCTCCAAGATGCCACATTCCAGGGGCACGTGGATGACTTTAGCCAAGAGCACAGCCCTTACAAAGTCCAGCGCTGCTGCCCAGCAGTGGACCAGACAAGCAGCTTCAAATGCAGACACCGTGGCTCCTGCCTCCCAGCCCTCAGAGTGGCCTGTGGATTCCGCGGGGCACCACCACTCACCCGAGGAGAATGCATGTGCCCTGCCCAGTGCTCCGAGACCGGCTATAGGCCGATACCACGATGGCCAAGATGTGTCTGAGGGAGGAGAGAAGGAAGCAAATGAGGAGGTTACCAGAGATGGGCTTCTGGGCCCTCCTAGGTGTAGGCAGGACCCTCAGTCCCCAGGATCTCGGTCAGTGGGACGTGCTGGGGCTTAGCCACCCGGGGGGGGCTGGTGGTGGTGGTGAGCAGAGGGCTGGTAGGGCTAAGTCACGTACGGGGTGGTGTTAGGGGCCTTCTTGGGGTGGTAGCTGGCCAGGACCTCAGCTGAGAAGAGAGGCAGGGGCCGGCGGGGGTTCAGAGAGAGCAGAAGAGGCCCTCCAAAGGTCTGGGGAAACACAGAGGAAGCAGGGGCTACAGACGGAGTGGGGCTCCGGTGCTCAGCCCCGCCCCGGGCCCCCACTCTGCAGGTCCCCAGCAAGGGTTCAGCACCCAGCCCAGGGAGGAGAGGGAAGGAGAACTTCTAGAAGTGCCAGAGGGCCCTCAGATCCCAGGGGACAGGGAATCCCAGCCCCTCAACCCTCCCCAGGTGCCCCCATACGTAGATTCGGCCCAGATGAAACCTCTTCTTGAGGCACTGCAGAACAGAGCTGTTACACACTGGTCTGTGGCGACAGCAGGAGAGCGGGGCAGGGAATCAGGGGCAGAAGGAGGTCCTGGGTTAGCACGGCCACTGGCTGTAGAGATACTTTGGGCAAAGTCATGCACCCTCTCTGAGCCCTAAGCATAACACAGGGCGCGGCTGCTAAGCGAGTTACCCACTCCATGGGGGCTGCAAGCACCACCAGGCCGCTGACCCCGAGGGAAGTTTTGTGCCAGTTAGGGAAGCAAGTCCCAGGCGGCGCGCCTGATTTTCACGCCTCACCTGCCTCTTCCAGCCAGACCTTTGGTTAAAAAGTACAATCCCTTCTAAGGATACAATTTATAAAAATGGAGGTAGGATGGGGCCCAGACAAGACAGATCTGGAACTGCCCCCTGCTCACCGCAGCCGAGCCAGGTCCTCCGTGTCTTCCAGGCCTTCCCCAAGGCTCCTGCCTTCAGCGCCCAGTAAGGGCGGCCCCTCCACGCCCAGCCCCAGGCTCAGCTCCAGGTCCTCCTCCGCCTCATCCTCTGGCTCCCACCGCTCCCTCGGGGACCCGCAGGGCCCGGGGCCTCTCTCCCACGGCAGACGGGTCTCCAAGGTGAGTCGGGGCAGCAGCGCGTCGGTGCCAAGCCCGGGGTCCTCGCGGGGTTCTGAGCTCTGAGCCCAGGGGACCAGAGCCTCGGCCCCCAAGGTCTCGGGCTTCGCTTCGCTTCTGGAGCCGCTCTCGTCGAGTGGGGGCTCGTCGTGGGGAGTAGGGCCGAGAAGAGAGCCTCGGCGGGGCCCGGCCACACTTTCTCCACTCGCCCCGCGCCCCTCACTGTCCCCCGAAGCTCCTGCACAAGGCCAAGCGTGCCCCTCCCCGGGTGAGGCGCATGTGGACGCTTCCTCTGAGCTCCGACTGCTCGACGCCCTCCCAGTCCTGTGGATCCTGGGGAACACGACCGCAAACTTGGGATCCGGAGTCGAGTCCTCATCCTCAGAAGGGTTTCCGGGAGCTGAGCTCTTCGCAAACTGTGGGGAGCTCGAGTCGCCGCTAGGGGGAGCCCTGGGCCGTCCCCCCAGTCCCGCTTCGCCCGCCACGCACAGCACTTGCCGGCGCCGCAGGCCGGGCCCGCGACCCCGCCCCGCCCCCCCCCGCGGCCCCGCCCCCCGGCCCTCGCCGGCCGGCCTCCGCCGCTGCAGCCGCAGCCAGTGCAGGAGACCCAGGGCGCGCACCACGCGCAGGAGCCTCTCCTTAAGGCCCGCGCGGCGGGGAGCCGGAGCCGCGGCCTGGGGAGCCGGGCTTGGCGGGGCTTTCGCGCGGAGCCTGCGAAGCGCCACGAGGGCGGCCAGCGGCGCTGGGTTTCCGGGCTCGTCCTTCTGTCCAGCCCCAGATTCGTTCTCGCCCGCCGCCACTTGCACCTTCCCCACCATCTTTCCGACCTGGCGGCGCAGAGTCCCGGCGGCCGAGGCCGAGGCTCTTCCAGGCTCGTCGCCCTGCGGCTCAGCCTCCGGCCGCACCTCATTGTCTGAGTCCCGGGCCGGCCCGGGGTCCCCGGGAGCCCGCGAGCTCCGGGGTACGCACATGGGGCTTCCCTCGAGGGGGGTGGAGGCCTTGGCTTTTTTGCCCGGCTCAGTCTCTTCGGCTTCAGTGGCCCGGCTCGCCGTTCCTGGGGCTGCCCTTGGGCCCCCTCCAGGCCTGGGCCCCTGCAGGCTCGACTCCGTGCCTGTCCCGGAATCCTCGCTCTCTCCCCGGGGTCCCACCCCCGACGACCCTTCCCGGCTCCGGGGCTCAGGGCTGTCCCCGCCGTCGCTGCTCAGACCGTCGCTGCTGGGGCACTCTCCGTGTTCCAGTGCTGGCTCCGACCCGGTTTGGGGGTCTCCCGAGCCCGTGTCCGTTTGCCCCTGCTTGGGCCGCAGCTCCGGGGCTCCACTGCTCTGGCTGTCGCTCTCCTGGGCCTCGCGGGCTTCGCTATCCTGGCAAGAGCTGCCCCCGTCTCCACCCGACGCGTCCCCGTCGAGGCACCGGGTCTCTCGGCAGCCGTGCCCAGCCGGGGGTCTCCGCCCTTTTCCTCTCTTCCTGCGGCGGCAGAGCTCGCCGGTCCTCCCTTCACCGGGGAGACTCTCTTCCTCCAGACGCCCACTACGGCCGTCCCGGTGCTTAGACGCGGGCCCCCGACACTGCGCGCTGCCTGGACTCCGCTGGGCCTCCGGTGGCGGCCCAGCCCCTGGCCGTCTGCAGCAGCCGTTCTGCTCTGCGGTGGGCTTCCGGCGGCCACCAGGGGTCCCGTGGCTTCCCGAAGTGGCGGGCTCCAAGACTGGTCTGGCCCTGTGGGCCTTACTGCGACCCTGTCGGCGTTCCCGGCTAGGCGCGCCGTCTGCGCGGGCCAACCTGGACTCCTGCTCCTCAGAGGCCGGCCTCCCGGGTCCGTCCTGGCGCTGGGGCGCTCTGCCCTTGCTCCCGCCCATGGCGGGCTCAGTGAAGAGGGGCTTCCCGGCGTCTCTGTCCTCTCCGGAAGATCTGGCAGCCCCTGGCGCCCTCAGCCCTTGGCAGCGCCCACACCGGTTCTTGCCCTGGCGGGGCGTACAGGCTCAGTCTACCCCCCCCCCCGGGGCTCCAGCCTTACCCATGAACATTAATAATGCAGGTGGCTGCAGGTCCTGACCCCCTAGGCCAACAAAGGAAGGGAGGCCGCCCAAGAAAGAGGAGACGCTTCAGCAGCAGACAAAGGCTGAGGACAGGGCAACCGTGCTGCCTGGGAGTGGCTGCCCGCAAGGTCAGCCTGGTGCCCCGCCAAACTGAGGACCCACATGCTCTGCTCCTGTCTCACTGCTTGCCCAGTGGAGGGGGGTTCCTTCAAAGAACCTGTCTGGACCACCATCCTGGGAGCTCTAAGGCTCACCCACTCCTTCCTTAGTTCTCTTGGACTCAATATCAGTAAACAGCTAACATTTCAGGGCTTATGTGCCAGGCACTGAACACTTCACTATGGAGTCATTTAATTCTTTTTTTAAATATATTTTTAAAATTTTTATTTATTTGACACAGAGACAGCGAGAGAGGGAACACAAGCAGGGGGAGTGGGAGAGGGAGAAGCAGGCTTCCCGCGGAGCAGGGAGCCTGACACGAGGCTTGACCCCGGGACCCTGGGATCTTGACCTGAGCTGAAGGCAGACGCTTAACGACTGAGCCACCCAGCCGCCCTGGAGTCATTGAATTCTTGAAAGCGCACTAAGAGGTGGTACCCTAAGGATTCCCAGTTTATGGCCGATACAACTGAGGCACACAGCTGAGTGTCACAGGGAGTGTGAGAAATGAGATGCCAACCCAGGCAGTCTGGCTCCCAAGGCCCTCTGGAGCATAGGTGTGAGGGACTGCCACCAGCAGCAAGCTTGACTTGCTCCGGCTCATTACAATGTATCCTGCAAGCTCTTGGGCCAACAGCTCGGAGCTCCTCTCCAGGCTCTTGCCTCCTTGGTGCCCTCCTCCACTCCGGGTTGATCCAGGCCAGGTCTTGTAGCTCACTCAGTCCTGTGGGTGTGGCAAGCCTCAGGTCTCTTCCCAAGCAGCCTTACATTCAAATCTCCCCAAACCCTAGGAAAGGGGTAAGATCTTGTTCTACAGATGGGGAATCAGCTCAGGGGATAAGGGGCTTAAGGACACACAGCTAGTAGGTGAGGAACTGGGCACCAAACCCAGCTCCCTGGACCCTGAGTACCAGCTGTTATGCTCCGTGGAGCTTCTGCTGGGAACTGGCTTTGGAACCAGGCAGCCTTGGTTTCCAACCACCACCCCCCCTCCCGCCAGCCCACCTCCTGGCTGTGTGACCTCCAGCAGCCTCCAGGGAACGCCCTGGACAAAGGACAAGAGCGGGGGAGAGGGGACCACCCCCCACCTCTCCACCAAGCCCAGCCCTCGCCTCTGGCTCCTACTTGTGGCACCCATTCCTTCACCTGCTTTGCCCCTCCATTCTGTGTGAGTCCTCCTCCGACCATGCTCCTTCCTCCCTCCCTGCGGGCCCTCCCACCAGCCACAGTAACTTTCACCTGCCTTGCTAGGGTGTTAACGTGCTGTGCGATTTTACAGACTCTCATTTAATCCTTACCACCCTCTTGAGGTAGGCCCTATTATTATGCCCTGTTTTATAGATGAGTAAACTAAAGCACAAGGGTGACATCATCTACCCAAGGTCACACAGTGGGTTATAGGCAAAGCCAGTGTTTGAGGACTGGGTCTGCCTGCCTGACTTCCAAGTCTAAGTGAGCACCAAGTCTCCACCTGTCAATGCTGAAGACCCTCAGATCCGAGTCTCCAGATTACGTGTCCAGCTGCCTGTGGAACATCGGCAAGGGCCTTAGAGTCAGCGGTGACCTCTGCCACTCTCTCACCTTCTGGCAGAAGTCCTGTCAACTCAGTGTCTCCACCGTGCCGCTACCAGCACCTCTCCCGGGACAGAAGCTGCAGGGACCTCCAGCTCCTCTCTCCGTGCCGGCCCAGCTTCCATTAATCCACTTTCTAGACCACGCCAAACCCTTCCGCTTGTGCTCGCCTATCAATAAAAATTGTTGATCTCACTCTCCCGATTAGGAGAAGGCTTTTTAGAACCAAAATAGGCAAACCACCAACACTAGCTAATACTTCATAGCACGGAGTACTTAAGGCAAAGCTCATCTTCAACGAGCGTGGATGTAAATCCATTTTCAGAGTCTGGGTATTTTCAGATGTGTGTGTGTGGTGGTGGTTGGCTTCTGTTCAGTCTGGTTAGCTGGGTCATTGCTGTGGCCCTGAGGCTCTCTCTGCCCTGGAGGTGCTTGGTGCTGCCATTTTCTTCTGCTTTCTTGGTGCTTGTGTTATTACCATGGTCTTCAATTCTTGGTTTCTTGGCAGGAAACTTCATGTCACTTGTCCATTTGTGTGAGTTAAGTTATCTAACTGGATAAAACAAGCAGTAAGTCCCTCTAAACTTAGGTGGTTTGAAAACCACACGAGTCCCCATAGCTGTGTGTGTGTGTGTGTGTGTGTCCAGCTTTCTGGGGTGTGATGTTCTCACTCCTTCCTTGGCACCCACTTTTGGTGCATAACCCTCTGACCTACAATACTGAGGACCCAGTGTCAACCCAAGGTATAAACAGCAGAGCTTAATTTCTTTTATGATAAAAATAAAGATCCTGCGCATCAAGCTGAAACATATTCTCCCTGACCCCATCAGGACCCCGTGAACCTTGTGGACTCCCGTGAACCTCACAACAGATCCCGAGGGGATACGGTTATCATTCCATTCCCCAGAAGAAAGCGGGACGCAGAGCAGGTGGGCAGTTTGCCTGAGGTCACACGAGTGGAACCTGCTGGGATTTAAATCACAGTGGTCTTTGGAAGCATACATTTCATAAAGAAACTTCCCTGCTTCAAGCCCCTTGGAGGCTTCCAGTGTCTCAGGATCAAGTCCAGGCTTTCCGACTCCCCTCCTGTCTGTAGCTTTGTGTTTTGATCTACCCAGCCTCCCTTCTCCATGACTTCTGGGACTGCTGTGTCCCTCTTCCCTTTGCGGAACTGTTCCTCTGCATTCCTTGTGGCTTTGGGGGCTCCTACCTCAGCGAGCACCACCGCCACTTCTAAGGAGAACATGGGGGGCTAGAGTGGCCCAAGTTACACAACCCAGAGACTCTTGAGCTGCACATGCTTGACTGGAGGGCGGTGGGGTATGATGCTCCCCCAGTGCATCCATCCTGGGCCCTGGACCTTGGCTCCTCCTCTGCCCTGTGTGCTGATCCAGGTCCTTCCAACAGGCCAGGTGGGCTCCTGTGCCACATAGCACTGCCCCTGCCCTCCAGGCTCCAGGGGCTCCCGGTCTGGCCCCGGCCATGTGGTGGTCTTGTTTTCAGCACACTTCCTGCCAACTCCCCTCCGCTCTTGGCCCGTTCCCGCAGTAAGCAGGCCGGTTCCTTGAGTGCTACCAGCCCCTCTATCTGTGCAGAACGGCCCACCTAGCCCACCGTGGTCATGTCCCTGTCCCAGCTTGACGTCACCTCCCCTGGCGTCTCTCACAGGCCCCTGGATTGCCTGCATCCTCAGACGTCCTGCCCTCGTTAGGGCGGTGAGCCCCACAGGGCAGGGACCACATTGTCTTGGCCGCCTCTGACCCCGTGTGCCCGGCATATAGTAGGTGCTCAACAAAGACAGGTGAATGAAGTAGAATCAAGTAGACTAAACTCCTGGTTTATAAGGACCAGAACAGCAGTCTGATCTAGCCCCTCATCTGAGAGTAAGACCTTTCACCTCTGGGCACGGCCTCTGACCTCAGCAGCGGCTCACGGTCCTTCCCTGAAGTCTGGAAGAAGCCACCAGGTCTGAGATAACTGTGTCTTCCCTTTCTGACAGCAAGGAAAGGCCAAAGGGGACTCCCTTGGTCCCAACCCAGGGATGCAGTCATGCAGACACGTGATAACCGTTAACTCTTGCCATTCATTCCCAAACACAGAGGTGTCAGCGTTCAGACAAGCACAGTTTGCTCTGACTCAAATGGCTTACAAAAGGGAGCCTCTGGACCACCGGCCTGGTCCAGCAACAGCACCCCAGGGGCAAAGGCAAGGGACCGGCTAACAATCATTTCCGTTTCCGCAGAAACTCTCTCCACAATTAAAAAGATTAGTCATTGGACCAGCTTGGTGAAGAGGTAATAAGGTGTTTATTACAAACTTTTTCACCCAGAGGCAGTTAAAATTTATAACTTAAAACCCAGCCCACTACAAAAAGGGGAGGGAGTCAAAACTGTGCAACATTGACAAAGAACCAAGATAGACAAGGCCCAGGAGGGGCAGCCCCGTGGCCCCGGGGTCCCACCTCTCCCGAGGCCAAGAGCAGCAGCGGGGCGGACACGGGGTCGGCTCCAGCCCCTGGCGCAGCCCAGGGCACGGTCCTCGCAGGCAGGGCTGGGCCCCTGGGAGAGCCCTCAGTAGTGCGTGTTCGTCGTGCAGCCTGCACTCACGACCTGCTCACTCCGCTGCGGAACGGGAGAGAACAACGGCTCAGGAGCCTCCTGGGCAGGCCAGCAGCCTCCATCGCCGGCTCGGGGCCCAGACACCGAGGTTTTCAGGACCCCCAGGGGCCTGTGTGGGCGCCCCTCTCCTATCCCTCCGTGTCAGGGGGCATGCCCTCCCAGCTGCCCCCAGCCCTGCAGTAGTGCCCAGAGCCCCTACCTACCTCCCCCATTGCTGAGGCTGTACCCCACGGCCATTCGCTGAGAACGCCAATTGCCATAGCTTCTGCATGGGCAAAGATAGGGCAGTCACCATCCATGGGGACCTCGGGGAGGCCAGACAAGGACCCTCATTCCCAGAGAGCTCCTGGCACCTCAGGGCCCACCCTGCAGGCCCGAGCAGTGACTCACCCTCGGTCTCCCTCCAGCGTGCTCTGGATCTCCTTCAGGACCCCTGCAGGAGTGGGCAACAGACGCGTGGTGAAGCCAGCA